AGATTTTTTACAGATTGACAAGCTAAAGTAAAACAGTCAGTCAGACTGTTGTCATTTCAAGAGCATTTGTTAGAAACATGCACACAAGAGGGAGCCCTATGTGAAGGAAGAATGTTAATAAAAAGATAATAGAAAAACAGTATAAAAAATGAATTAATAATCAGAACAGAAATAGCTGTTAGCCTTTAAAAAAATATTTTAGTTTAACATTGGTAATGTTTCAAGGTAAAGAATTAGGTATCATTTGTATACTGATATGTATAATGATTAAATGGTTATTTCTTAACTACAAATGTTGACAAAATTTGTCTTGTAGATCAGCATTTCCCCAAATTTTAAGTTTGGCGCACCGGTTGTCAAGTTCTGATATAGTACCAGGGGCCGGCGACAGATTTTTAATTGCATTTTCTTTTTGTTTGACAATAAATATTCATGTGGTGCAGACCGGCTACATAAGGCTCACCGACCACTACTGGTCCGCGGACCATCATTTGTGGAACGCTGTCAGACAACTACAAGAATAAACTTACTGATAATAGCTCACTTTAACCTACACAATCTGGTACACTTTTATAGGGTTCAGAATCTACCCACTATGGTATAAATTTCCAAACTTTATGTGTATCATTTTGAGAAGTAATGAAACAACCCTGAGTTTTTTAATATAATTTTTATTCCTCTGTTTCAGGGGACATAGTCACCAAATATCTGTATACAAAAATTTAATTATAAGTGATATAATAATAATAATGCAAATCAAAAATAAAAGTCAAAATGTAGAAAAAAAAATCATAGTAGTTAAAATTGTTTAACTAGCCAATATACAGGTTTACACATGAATTGCACATTAGCTATGAAGCAGTGGTTAACACACGAAACTTTACAGAAAAGAGAAAGCTCCCGGCCTGTTACTGGTTAAAGCACCAAACAATATACACAGTTATCACAAGACAACATCAGGAACAGAAACTGTCGACTCCTTAATTCCACCGCAGTTGTCACATTTTGCCAAATATGCATGGCAGTTTTATTTCTACTCACATCATTGTTATTTTTAAGAAAATGTATCCCCTAAAATGAAGGGACGCTTTACAATATCAAACTATTATTCTATTCTTATATCGTGGAGGAATATTAAGTTTTTGTTGTTAAACAATGAGGCTTTTTCAAATTAAAATTACGTATTAGTTACATTGTTAGAGATATCTGTTAGCTACCTCATATATTACACATGGGTGCATGATTTTTTCAAATTTTAAAGATCATAAAACATTTTTTTAGAAAGATTTATAATAATTCATCTGATTTATAGTGTTTTTTAAATATTTTTCAAAACAAACATATTCTTCCTTTAATAAAAAAAAAAAAAGGAAAAGGGAGCAGGTACATTCCTTTAGTAAAGAAAATATGGCTTGGCAGAAAATTCTTCACAATAAATATCAACCTTTGTATGACATGATACTTTCCTAATTATTGATTGTGACAAATATCTTATTTTTAAAATGGTCAAACTTAAACTTCTTATAGCTAACAGACTTTCTAGAAAAAAAAAAAAGAAGAAAAAAAAGAAATGCAAAAAAAAAATTTTTAAAGTTGTATATCTCAAGATTTGCAAAAGGAAAATGTTTTCTTTGTTACAGAAACACAATTTAAAGTATATGTACACACTTTAAAAGACCTTATAAAAGAAAGAGTTATATACTTTATCACAATGTGTTGATTGAAAAATATCTCTGAAGGAAAGGAATGCAGATGTAACCACTGGTGCATGAGGTCTGCCCCAAGCAGCACATTTTTCTGCATATTGATGGGCAGCATTTTCGTCCAACTGCACAGTTTTTTCATGGGGCAGGGGTGGCAAAATTTTGGTCCGTTCTAGGCGCCACTAACCCTAGCTACACCACTGGATTTTAAATCCTTTTGTTGTATTCATAATTTTTTAAATAAAACTAACGAGTATCAGTAGTAGTTTGAGCTTTAAAAAAATTACAATTTAAACATTTTTCCCTGTTTCTGATCATTAGAAGATAGTGCAGATTTTAAGGTCTAGTTTAGTCGTTCATTTCCTGGTGATGATAATTACAATCTTTTTAATAATAAAAGCTAATAAAGATTAATAATTGCAAACTAGTTGACAAAAATTCATCATTTTAAAAACTCTACTGCTCTTTAAAACATTTTTGAAAAACTTGAAAATAATTTCAGATATTATTAAAGAGTTGGTTAGTTAAGTTTAAAAAATAGTAATTAATTTTATACAGCATATTTCATTCACTATTGACATTACTGTGCACATGCTTTATTTCTTATTGCTTAAAGTGATTCAAACTTGAAATGAAGTCTACATCAGATGATAAGTAGTATTCTTGGGGTAAGTATCTTTATTATTCTTTTAATCACCAGCCTCCCTAGAGCTTAAAAAACAAACTGTATGATCTTTTTGTGATAGATACTGCTATTTTCAGACAAAAGTTCCATTGCATAGTTTATTTTTCTACTAAAAAAAAAATAAACAATTTTTAAAGATTCACTTAAGTAACATTGTATAATAACTGAGATGTTTATTTTGAGGCATTGTAAGGTTTTTAAAAAACTTTGACATTGTTTAATATTTCCATTGTATAATATTTCTAAAGCTAAAATAATGGAAAAAGCACTCCTAGATGTAATTTGAAGTATTAATAGCTAAGATTTTATTGAATGGTATATAAAGCTCAGTTAAATAAGTTATTCTGGACTATAAGATAATGTAAGAGTGGACAGATTTAGGGAGCCAAAATCATCAACTTGCATATTTAAACAGTAAAATATAAACCAAGATTACTAAATAAATTTTCAAAATTAAAACGTGTTCCTCTACAGTGGCAAGATACACAGCATTTTCTAAAGAATTGTAATAGCTTAGGTTAAGTTTTATGTAAAATTTGTAGAAATTTAATTTTTTAGAGATTTTCAATGTTTATTTTCTTAGGAAAGTTAAATATTTCCTATAGTGCCAAAAAAATAAAAAATAATAATATACTTCTGTATAAATAAAGCCAGACAATTAAAAATAAAATAAATAAAAGTAAAAAATTTAAGAAAATTGAAATTTAAAATCCTTGAAAAAAGCTTATTTATTATTAAATCTATCGTTCTACATTTAACACTTACATCATTACTGAGGGCCATACAAACACTCACAACCCTTCATTTATCTAACTAAATTTACAGTATATAACATATTTTGTACTCCTGATAACAAAATTACCACCTTCCATGTAGAGCTTAGAATCAAATAACCGGTATTAAATAGGTGAATAGTTTGCTTTGTAGCATCACTTTTAAATTAAATAAGTTATATTATAGACTTTAAGACTGTCAATGTTGCTGTCACATAAGCCCAAATGTGGAATGATCATGCCTGTGTAAGAAGACTCATGGTGCTTCAGGATGAAGTGGGTAGCCATTTCTAAAACAGAAAAATATACAAAATGAAGCAGACAAAATTTTTTTAATCTCCAATTTTTGAGAACTGCATTTTTTCAGAATCCTCCTTAATCTTTTACATTCTTTGCAATATCTCAAGAAAATAGTTTTTTAAAATAAATTTAAACCAAACTTAGTTTAGATGATGTAGGTTAGTTGGACAAGACACTATTTCAGTCACTCCATTTAAATTTCAAAATTTAACCTATGATGAATAACTAAATGTTTTAAAATGATTTTTTATTAGACAAGTTTCTCAATAATTTTTCGAGCATTATTTTAATATCAGACTCTATTCATGAGCAGCATGTTTTAAATATTTCATTTCCTTAAAAGCATAAATATGACAACTGACTTTTATATAATGAGAAAAAAACATTAGGGAATAAAGGAGTAAACAAGCTGAAGAGTACACCAAAATAAATTTAAGTTTATAACATTTCAAAAATAAAAAAAAACAGCCACTAGATAATAAAAAATTATATCATGCAAATTTCAGAGACTTGGAATTAAAATATTTTTTTCTCTGCCCTAAAACTTATTGCTTTTCATAAAGTTTGTGTTAGCTTACTGGATTAGAAATAACTTTTTGGATATTTTTATATTTATGATTATGACTAATCTGTAAAATCTGTAACAAGAGGTTTATTCAGGTTAAAACCAAGCGGGACAAATAGCAACAACTTTGGAAATAACATGAATTTTAAGGTAACTTATTATTCATAGTTACAGCTCGTTTAAAAAAAGGGAAAATGAATTTTCACCATCAAAGCACATATAAAATTCTGACCACCTTTTTAAGTGTTAAAGCAACCAAGATTTTTTTATTATTTTATCTAACAAACACTCATGCGTAAAAATGAAAATAAGGGCAGGCATGACAGCAATATTTGTTTCAAATGATAGTTTTCTACAGACATAAAAAATAAGAATGAAGACTTTTGGTTTAAAAAAATTGAAAAAGTACCCATGATTCTTGCAAGCTGGATCAAATCTGTTGAAAATCATAAAAATCAAATCAAGGTCCCACTGAACCAAGCAATGGCAAAGAAACGATATGGCATTGAGAATTTAAACGGCTTTAGTGAGAGGCATGCTGATCAAGATAAGCACAAATCAAAAGGGAAATTTAAGCTCATATTCTTAATAGAAAAATAAAAAATTACAAAAACAATTACAAAAATGTAATTGTCTCATCCAGTTTGGAAAAAAAAAAAAAAAAAACTTTAACCAATGGAAAATTTAATTGCGCAACTTTAAAAAAAAAAAAAAAAAAAATACAAAAAAAATTAAAAAAAAGAAATTTGATCATCCAATTTGGAAAAAAAAAAAAAAAAAAACTTTAACCAATGGAAAATTTAATTGCGCAACTTTAAGACTTTGAACAACAGCTGGAAAAGTTTTAAAGTAAACTCTGCAATAAAGAGAAAAACACCAATATATGTGGACCAACACTGAAATTAGTTACAAAGGAAACATTCTTAATATTCATTATATAACTATGACCACTCTGCCCTAGGCAATGAATGTCTTACCAGTTTAGACTCTGCTGCTTTTGACAAAACATTTTTTGTCTGTTCCTCTGAAAATCTAACAACAGTGGCTATAACTTTGGTCAAGGTCTGAAATACAAAGTTTTGATATTAACAAAGTTATAGAGTTAAATAAATAATTTTAAGTTGAAATGCAGCTCTTAGGTTGTCTTCCCTTTATTATTGAGAATGAATTGTTGTCCATCAAAGATTGTGTCATGAAAGTTAAGTTAGTGTTTATGGATAATTTACTTTAATTTAAGAAATAAAAGTTGGTAAATATACATTTACAAGATGCTCATTAAAAAATTCATTTCAATAAAATATTTCATTCCTGAAACCCTAACAGACCAATTTTGTTTAATTGTTGCTAAAACTACACCTGTAAAAAGGTTTTAAAATAAATTCAACTTACTTTTGTTTCTTTGCCCATCATGTATTCATAAAGAATGTTCTTGAGATACTGAAATAATTTTGTTTAAATAAATGATTACAAAAACAATAAAATTGTTGATTGGAAAACAATATCCTAACAGGGTGCCTCAAATTATGACTCACACATATTAAGTAACAATATTTGTTATATATAATTACTTGATTTTTAAAGATAAATCGATATATCACATTACCTCAAATTCTGTTGGTTCTCTAAATAAAGCTGACTCATCATGGTTCATGTAAGAGCTATCAAGGTTAAGTGGAGGGTCATCATCGTCAGTGATGCCCTTAGACAGCCTTTCCATTTTTTCTAACTTTAAAAAAAAAAAAAAATGGTATTATTTTTCATTAAGAAAAGAATATTTATTTTAAAAACTGGAATGACATAATTAAAAAAGGCACTCTTAAAACACTACATTGATGTGAGGTACAGTTAAATACCAAAAAAAATTATATGTGCTGATGGGGTATACAGGGAATCCTTTATTTGAAGGTACTTAATTGCTCTTACCTTCTTCAATAATTCCCTCTCTTTAATCTTGTGTTGGCTTAGCTCACCATTTAAATGTGACAATTGTGCCTAGGATGAAAAATTTCAGTTTAGAAAATTTTCAAAATATAATTTTTTTTCAAATTTCTTACTATAATATTCTTAATTTAATTATTTTGTGAACTCTGTAGTTATTGAAATATTTTATATTGCCTTATGACACTGGTAAGAAAATTTTTAAAAATAATTTTTCTTTTGAAATAATATGAAACTGTTTATAAAATGTATAACCTGTAAGTCTATGTTATGTAGCTCCAAATCCTGCAACTCAATAGATAAATCTTGTTGTGACATATCTCTTGACTGCTGAACAGGGGCCGCAACCAAGGGTTGTGGTAAAGTCCCTTGGCCCATCTCTACTCCACTGTATGCTTCTGCAAGCTCCAGTCTATATAAGATAAAAATAGCTGTTTTACAGTTTATTTCTTATACCCTCTTTTTATTTTGCCTCAACCTCAACACTGGAGAACTAATTTAAATATTAACCTTAAACTGGCAAATGGCAAATATATTTTTATAACAAGTAGTTTTAAAAGTCATTAATAATGAGCACCCTGTTGCTGATACAAACTTTCTTTAATAACTTAACGAAGGCTTAGTTTTAGCACTTCATTACAGATGAAAAGAAGGTTGTAAAAAATTAATAATTACTTGTGTTTTTGTTTCAGCTGCTCTAACTGCTGAGAAAGGTGGATGACCTGCTGTTGTAAATATGTAGTATCCCCTGATGTGCCCTTCTGAAAGGCTGTCAAAGCTGCCTGATTTTGTTGCACTATTTCCTATATTAAATAAATTTGAAATAAACATGTTGAAGGAATTTTGATTATGGCTTGAGCAAAGTATTTTTTTCTAAAGCACTAAACTCATAGAAAAAATTCCCTACCTGAATAATTAGAGGAAATATTAGCTTAAAGGTTAATACAATTGTGACATTTACATGAATAAATAACTGTCTTTGCTTTACTTAAACTAAACTATTTGTAGAAAAACTTGTATAAAAAATGTTCACAAATAATTTCTAGACATAAAAACTTTATAAAAGTTATTAAAAGCATTGTACTGAGAAATTAAATCATTATAACAAGTACCGATAATATAAAAAAATTATTTTTTAAAACTATATAGGAAAATGTGTTACTTTAATGCTTGAAAAGTCTTCACAATATTTCTTGTAAAAAAAAAATTCATTGAGAAATGCAAAAATGACAGTTTAACAATCCTATTGGATTTCTTTTTAAAAATTAATGCTAGAAAATTTATTTAAAAAGTATAAATTTTAAGAAAGTAAAAAATAAAACAGAATTTACCCTACTCAGTAAATATTTGAACATAAGATATTTAAAATGCTTTGCTACTTAATAAAAATAGTCATTAGAATGACAAACAAATAACTGTAGTTCAAGGGTGAAATGTAGAAGAAATTCCAATCAAAGATGTACATATACATGCAACATTTAATTGACATACTGTTATTCTAGAAATGGCAGGATTTTTTATTATGGCTGAGATCAAGGCAACATATGGGGGTAAGGGCTCCCGGATGGAGAATGACTTTTATCAATAGAAAAAAAAAGTGTGAAATTAAAATTTGAAGTGTTTCAGTTTTTAAATTTAGTAGAGTATCCAGAAGTCTGCCTTAGATTTTCAAGCTTGCCAAGGGGATATGTTTTATACATCAAGCTGATTTTTATTTAAGCTTTTTTTAAAATGTATATTTTTAGGTAAATATATATTTTTATGAAACTGTTACCATTTTTTTAGAAGCTGATAAAACATTTAATTGAAACTTTTAAACACAACACATAGATATACCTCAAACATTTCAGGTCTCTGTTCAACTTGCCAGTGCTGCATGCCCATCTAACATACCACAATGGAAAAAAGACATTGAATAACAGTGGCTGGAGTCAACGGTGTGGTAGAACAACTAAACAAGACAAAATTGCTTTAAAACAGTAATCACTGAAGCAGTTTGAGGTGGTTATTCAAAGAAAAATCCTTAGATTGCCAACAAACATTCTGACTTCATAACGTTGATAAAAAATATAATCTTGACAGTTAACTGTTCTGTGGCTGCATGCAAGACATCATTTAGTATGATTGGAATTATTTACAAAAGAATTAATTTGATTTTTGTTAAAAATTTAATTAAAAAATTTTTTTTTTCCTTTTTTTTTTTTTTTTTTTAAAGTAATAATAAAGACAAAGTTTTAACAATCCAAAATATATTTTAAAATAATAATTATCATCTGCATTATTGATGAGCACAACTTAAACCACTATCAAAACAAACACATGTGAGTGAAAAATGTTGGTGGCAAATACTTGTCATGACAATCCAGGTGGAAGCTGCTCACATTTACAATAGGAAAATGCACAGCAAGCATTTTGCTGCAGACAGGGCATGCACAGTAACCCACCTTCCTTTCCATGTTCGATTCTCTAGTGAGAGCATTTACCTCCTCTAGGTGGGAGGTATCTTTTGCTTGGAGACTTTTATGATGCTCTGATTTCAGTTTATTTTCCATGTCAACAATTACCTGCTGATTTTCTTGTCTAACAGTAGCTAATACTGTCTCCAGTTCTTTCACCTTAAGTGCTTGTGCTTCTTCAAGAGTCTATGGGATAACAATGGAATGAAAATAACTCCAACTTTTGCAAAGTAAGTTCCACAACACTTATTTTATTTAGAAATGGATAAACTGATGTCTAAATCTTTTCCCAGGGTTTAAATTGAAATGAGCAATTACACATCTGCTGATATAGCTGACCTGAAGTTTAGCTTTATACTCCACATGAAGTTCTTGTATCCGCTCATCACGTTCTAATATTTCTTTTCGCAGCTCATCAACATCAGCCTGATGTTCTCGAAGCATGCCTTGCTCCCCTCTTGTACTTTTATCTATGACAAAAAATATGTGATGACAGGTTTTCAATAGAAATAAACTTTTGAGACATTCCCTTATGGTTACAATACTAATATATATAATTTTTTAAATCAAATATTGTATTTCATAACAATTATTACACAAGTGACAAACGGATATTGGATCGATCTAAACAGATTAAACATAGTAACTATTTTTGAAACAATTAAATAAAGGTAATAATTTCAATTTACACATGGGTCACATTTGTGTCATCAAATTTATTTTAAAAAATAAACCATAAGAGCAGCAATCTCTATTCTAAATTGCCAACCATCCCCCAAGAGAAACCTTACCTATGGCTTCACGGAATGTGGCTTCAAACTCCCTTTCTTTCTCTGACATCTGTTGACTCAGCTCCTTCACCAAATGCTTCAGCTTAAATGCATGTTCACTGGCCTGGTTATCCAGGTCAGCTTGGTGAACCCTTTCAACTTCTCTCAGCTTCTGCGACCAGCTTGACTCCAGTGCCACCAGTTCTTCTTCTTTGTCAGTCTTCAAAGCTTGAAACTCTTGTTCCAGTCTTTCATTCTTGGATCTCAGACCCTCAATCTCATGATCTGCCTCAGATGATGTTTCTTCTTTTCTTCTTTCCAGAGCAGAAATTTTCTCAAGCTGATTTGAAATGACAGTCTCTAGTGAGGCTATCTTTTCCACTAGTTTGTCTTGATTCAGCTGAGAGTCCTTTCCTTTCTGAATGTAATCATTAACCTGAATGTCTTTTGATTGAATCAATTCTTCAAACTGTCTTTTAACATCTGTTAGTTCTTGTTCATGATTTGAGACAAGCTTTTCTTTCAACTGTCTCAGGTCTGTGATCTCTGAATTTAATGTTCCAATGGTGGCCTCCAGTTTTGATATGATCTCTTCCTGCTGACCAGTTGCAGAGATCTTCTCATCCTGGAGCTGTTTTTTCACCTGAGATATGTAAGACTCTGCTTTCTTTTTGTACTCAGCCACTTTAGCACTGCTCTGGCTCTCCATCTTCACAGACAGTTCTGAAATTTCAGCAGCATGTTCTTCCTTCAACTGAGTCAGCTTCAACTCGTAAGTCTGTTGCATCACTTCCTCAAGGGATTTAACTTCGGAATCCTTATTTTCAATTTGAGCTCGGGCAGAGTTCAGAGCTTCATCCAGTTTTTTCTTCAACTCTTCTTTTTGCAACATCAAGTCTGATAATTTCATTTCAAGATTCTGTTTCTCCGATAGAATTTCTTCCAACTGTAAATTGACTTGGCTGGCTGATTGCACTTTTATCTCAAGCTCTGCATGCTTATGTTGTTCACTCTCCAATACTTTATTAGTTTTATCCAATAGGGATTCAAGATCTGAACATTTATTATTAGTTTCATTCACCTTTATTTCAAGCTCAGACAATAGCTGGTTTTTAGCCATTAGCTGAGATTCCAGTTCAGAGCACTTTTGGTCTTTTTCTTGCAATTCAAATTCATGCTTCTCTCTTTCAGACTGCTGCACCTCCTTCATTTCTTTTACATCTTTTTCCAAATTAGACAAAACTGAATTCCTATCCTCCAGCAAAGAGTTCAGCTCTCTCAGCTGTGAACTTAATATTTCCAGCTCTGCCTCTTTTTGGCCTAGTAGAGCCTTGGCATGCATGAGATTGTCATTCAGCTTCTCATTGCTGGATTGTCTTTCTTCAATCACCTTCTGCCAGCTGTTTTCCTTCTCATTCATCTCACTGTCCTTGTGCTCCAGTGCACCAGACAGTTCAGCCACTCTCCTTTCAAGGTCAACAATGGTTTCATGAGACAAGCCAGAATTCTCCTCCAGCTGAAGCAGCCGTGTGTTGGCCCTTGTTAGCTCAGAGTTGACCTCGTCTTTTGCAGCTTTCTCTGACTTCAAACTGCACTCTAGCTCTTCAATGGTTGATTTGGCCTGACCCTGAATCTCTTTCAGCTTGACAACATATTTCTGCTTGAGGTCTCTCATTTTTTGCTCTGCTTCTAGCCTGCATGATTCAAGCTCTGACCGATGGGATTCCAACTGAGTCATCAGCTTCTGTTCACTTTCAGCTACCCTCTGCTGAAGGTTTGATTGCAGTTCATTGGAAGAAAGTTCAGCTTCACTCTGCACTTGATGAAGCTGTTGTTTTAACACTGTGATTTGTTCCCCCAGGGATAGCTCTTGTCTCTCCAACTGTCTTTGTCCTTCTTCTAATTTATCTTCCGCTTCTTTAAGCTTTTCCGCAAACTCCAAGACCTGTTGTTCCAAGAACTGTGTTTTTGTCTGCAATTCAGATTCTCTTGATGTCACCAGAGTAATTTGAGAGCTGTAGCTGGTTTTCAGATCTTCTAATTCTTTTGAATTATTTTGATTGAGCTCCACAACAATTTTCTCTTTCTCTGATGTCAGTGTTGCCAGCTCCTCCTGTAATGTACTGATAATATGGTCTCTTTTCCCCAGTTCCAACCCCAGATTTTCCCTATGAGCTTCCTTTTCTTTAATTTCCAACTCTAAACGCTCTTGTAGACTCCTTAAAGATGAATCTTTTTCTTGAACTGTATCATTAAGAGCCCTTAGCATTTCTTCCATAGAGGCATGTTCAATCTCAAGTCTGGAGAGCTTTTGGTGACTGTCTAAGAGTATTGTGTCTTTTTCCTGAACTTCTGCTTCGTGCTTCTCTGTAAATTCCTGAAGTTGCTTAGAAAGTAGCATATTTTGGTTTACAAGTTCTTCAGATAACTCTGTCTGGCGATTCAACTCCTTTTGAAGATATTCATGCTCAGCTGATATTGTACCAGCCATAGCTTCCAATTTAGAATCTTTCTCCTGAAGCTGTTGGGTTAATGAATTAATGATACCATCTTTAGTTTGCGTCTCTGAATTTTGATTTTCAATGAGCTGTGTGATCTGAGATTCTTTTTCTGCTAATTGCACTTTTGAAACTTCACATTCCTCACTTTGCTTCCTTAAGTCTTCCTGAACCTCCTTGAACCTCTCTGAAAGATCATCAAATTGTGATTGCAACTCATTCAATTTAACATGTGTGTTGCTCAATTGCTCTTTACAACTAATTAGTTCACTGATGGCACTTTCACCTTCTGTAAGTTTCACCTGCATATTATTAATTACTTGCTGATGCTCACTAACCAGAGCATGACATTTGGCTTCCCAATCCACTCTAAGTTCTGCAATGGCTGCCTGGTGCCTCTGCTCCAGTTCTGCTAGCTGCTCTTGTTTCAATCTTTCGAAATTTTCATTCATGTCTTCAATGCCAAGATCCTTCTGGGACGTCAGCTCCCTCAGGCGTTCTTCAAACTGGCTGTCTTTGTCTTTCAGCTTCCCCTCAAAATGCTCTTTTAGCTTGTGGAGAGTTTCCTTGTACTTGCATTGCTTCTGTTCAAACTGCTCTTTGAACGACAGCTCCAGGGCTTTCATTTCATCTCTGACCACACCCAACTTTTCGTTGTGATCCTTTTCCAGCGATTCCTTCTCTGCGCTGGTGGCTCTAACAAGGTCATCGAGCTCCTTTTGTTTCAACTCCAACTGCTCGCTGAGGGAATCCTTCATTTCTTTTAGACCTTTCACCTTGGCATTGGCCTCTGTTTTAAGTTTTTCAAATTTCCCTAAGCTTGCAGCCAGTTTCTCCTCTGTCTCAGCAACAGCTTGGGACTTACTCTGGATCTCTAGACCCATGTCAGTGATTTTATTCTCCACTGATTTGATGTAACTGGAATTATCGTCCATCACAGAGCGTAGGGCAATAATTTCATCATCCTTGGAGAGGAGAGATTTGGTCAAGGCTATAATTTCCTCCTTGTAGGCGTTTACCTGTGATGCCAGGTCACAGGCAGTGGCCTCTAGGGCCTGCTTCTCAGCTGAAGTCTGCTCGATAAGGGACTCGTGTCTCTCATGAAGCTTCTCATTCAACTCCTCCTTGGACTTCTTCAAGTCCTCCACTATTTCCTCCAGGTTGGTCAGTTTCTCTTCAAGGTGAGCCTTCTCCCTCTCCACCGCTGACTGGCAGTTCTCCAGACTTCTGATGATCTCCTGCAACTGACCCACCTGGAGCTCCGCTTCCTTTACCTTGGCCTCCAGTGCCTCCTTCTCATGAGCCTTCTCCTCCATGTACCTATTAATATACTTTTCTAACTCCTCTACTTTGAGTCTACTGTTTTCTACATTTTTACCCAGACACTCATGCTCCTCCTCCAGCTGTCGTATCCTCTCTTCCTTTTCCAGGAGGGCATCAGAGCTGGCATTGCTCTTCTCTAGTTCTGCTGAGGACAGTTTTTGTTGGTACTCCACTTCAACTCTACTCTTCTCTGCCTGCAATGCCCTGAGCTGGTTGTGTGCACTGGTCAACTCCTCACTCAAATTATTCAGTTCATGGGACAGTATCTGACCCTGGTTGGTCAAGATTGTGTTGGAATCCTCCATGTTTTGTACCTTGCCTGTGAAGTCTGAGTTGGAATCCTGCAGGCTTTTTACCTTGTCTGTCAACTCTGATTCCCTCACTGATAGGGATTCAAGTTTTTGGATAAGCTCTTCTCTTTCAGCAAATAGCTCATTCATTTTACTGCTGGCTTCTCCTTGATTGGACTCCACCTGAAAGATAAGGAGGGTTGTTTATATCTATGTTAGAAAAACTTAACTCTTGATTTTTAGGCATAATATTTGAACTGATCTCCCTACAAGAAAATAACAGACTGGTCAAGAAAAAAATCTTTAGGTGTGCACGGGGGGGGGGGGGGGGGGGGGTGTTACTTTCTACATTCTAATGCACAAGCCTTTTTTGAGTAAATAAAGAAATATAAAGTTACCTTTATTGTCTTTGAAGAGTCCACAGAACATGAGAAAAACATTACTGTAAATGTTTATATACAGATATATACAGAACATAATATCCATTTTATTTAAATATGTACACTATCCATTTTATTTACATATGTCCACAGGTTGCTAAGAGTTCAGTTTTCCAGCATATGTCTAGTGGCATTTTTGCACTTGGCAACAGCTCTTTGGGCAACTGAAGGTTAGCATTGCAATTGATTTTAGTTACAAGCAAGTTAGAAAGAGTATCAACTTTCATGCTTGCCCTTTTTTCATTGTAATTTTTCTTCACAATCTTTTAGCAATCTGCGAGTCTGGAAACATTTCTTTTACTCTGGCATTAAAATGATCGGATTTGGCTAGAGAAATACTTCCTTCAATAAGAAAGGTGGTAAATAAAACTTCCGATCTGATAACTGAATCGTCTGATTCCTTAGCAAAGAAATTAGACATGGATGTTGTAGATTCTCTGCTTTTAGCTGCAGTTGAGTGTTTTTTTGTTAAAATATGTTTATGAATATCATTGTACCCACCACTTTCAATAGATTTATCCATTTAATTAAGAAAAAGCTTTTACAAAAAAAAAAAGTCACAACGCAACTGAATTATTTTTTAGCCTAGTAAAAGAATGAATCTCGATCAGATTAATTGATGATTGAAGAATGATTTGGAGATCGCCGTTCGGTTCAATAAAAACAAGGCAGTGTCTAAACATCCGGCGACAGGACAAATAGTCTGGGTAATATTCAACCGGCGGGCATGTCACGCTTTTTTAACATTGTCACTTTTTAACCATTTGTTCAACTAGCAATGGTTCTAGTATTTCTTTTGTAGAATTGAACATATTTCTTTTTCATGTAAATGTCCAGACTATCTTAAATTTGTTGAAACGAAGTGCCATAAACTCTGATCAACTATTAGTGGTCACTTGACATGGCTGACAAAAAAATATTTTGCACAATTTTGTTACCGCAATCATATGACTTGGTCGAATATATATAATAGCCGGATGAATATCTCTAGAACTTATTTGTCCAGTTGCCAGACATGTGTACACTTCATAAAAACAAAGAAAGTGGCATCATCGAAATGCACCACTTCCTGTCGTACCCAATTTTTAAAAAAAAAATATTTTTTTTCACTTTTGGATTATCATGACAGGTGAAAAATTATAATGTTCGGAATATCTGAATTTTAAGGGGTTTGTCGGAATGAGGGGTAAAAACTCCTTATGATTCCTACAAAATCGGAAAGGGGTGGCAGGTCTGAAATAAGGATGTAAATATATTTCTTACATCTTGACAAAAGCGAGATTCACCACATGCACTTGACATCAATAGCTTTTAATCAACTCTAGCCCAAGATGAAAAATTTGTTTACATATAAAAAAGTAATAAGAAGAAAAAAGTTTGCAATATCTTTTACCTGTTCTTTTAACCTTGCATTCTCTCCAGTTATCAGAGAGAGCCTCTGGGAAACTTCATTGAACTCTTGCTGCTTGATTTCTACTTGAGACCGAAGAGACTGAAGTTCTGTCCTAAGATTTTCATTCTCATCTCCTTTTCCATTAATTGCAGCATACAATTCCTTTTATAAAAAATATTAAATATTCAAAAATTAAGTGACGCACAGAAGAAATGAAGCCCTGAAATTTATACAACAATGATGTAAATTGTTAACATTTTCCTGCCATGAATGCTCTTCACAAGTCCATATGAACCATAGCAAGATTCCTTTATGCCAAAAACAATCAGCACTGATGCATGTTACCCTTGTAAGTGATTCTTGTCTTTAATAGTTAGTTATATGAAAATAAGTAATGCCCTTTCTTCTCATTACCTCAACTTGAACCTCATATTCTTTAGCCTTGCTGGCCAACTCAGACTGAACTTCACTCAATTGTTGCTCTGTTTCAGAGAGTTTATTTTGTGTCAAAGTGAGGGAGGCCTTTGACTCATCTAGTTGGCTTCTGATTTCAGAGATGACCTGTTCCAACTCAGCTTTCGCACTTTCCATCTGAGACTTGAAAAAACTCTCACTTTCATTGGTGGATTCCTGAAAAAAATTTACAAACTTAGAGCAATGCTTCTTGTAGCACCATTTTCAAACGGATCAACGCAAATGGAACTCTTGCGCATCAACCAGTCTTGAGTTTACTCAGTAATTTTAAAACCACATCCCAGAACAAGTAAGAAAACAATGTTAAGACGAATTTCATCCTGCAACATATGAGTGACAAGGTGCCCATCATCACAAACGTGAGAATTCTCTATTAACAATTTCGATATAAACTTTAAAAAAAATAATAAAATTCTAAAGCTGTGAAGAAAAATAAGCCACCTGTAAACTCTGCTCCAATTTATCTCTCAGGCTCTGTAACTCTTCTCCATGTCTTCGCTGAAGTGCATCAACCTCATTCTTAAACTCGTGAGCCAGCTTGGATCTCTCTTCATCCAAGGCTTCTTTGTGCCTAGCTTTCAATTCTTCCGTTTGCTTTTCGTACTCCTCTTGCTGTGCCATGAGCTTGGACTGAAGCTCTGAGATCTGCTGCTCTGTGTCTTCTTGAAATTTTGCCAATCTGTTAATTAGCTCTATTTTCTCCTATTAAACATATGTCAAAAGTAAACAAAATATATATATAATACAATATGAACATCCGTGTGGTACAAAATAGTGTATTTTATACCAGGTTGACGTTGCCATAACAAGAGTGGGTATTAAGAAAAATTCTCTTTAAACAAAAATTAAGTTAATTATAGTTAAAAGAATGGCTAAGTAATATGAGTGACTTGAGTTCTCATAACATTTGATAAACAGTATTTTATTTATTGTTAATGTTAGGACGGGGTAATTGTATATAGTAAACAGATAACATCAAATCATTTTTTTGTTCAAATAGGCCTTTCTTTGTGAAATTATTTGTTCACTTCAGGGTGTAACTTAATGTTCAAATAGAAGTGTGTAACTTATTGTTCAAATGGAAGTGTGTATCTTATTGTTCAAATAGAAGTGTGTAACTTATTATCCAAATAGAAGTGTGTAACTTATTGTTCAAATAGAAGTGTGTAACTTATTGTCCAAATAGAAGTGTGTAACTTTTTGTTCAAATAGAAGTGTGTAATTTATTGTTCCAATAATGAACTGAAAGTAGCGACAAGTACCATATTTTAAAATAATTTCATGCTATTTTATCCTTTTCAATACACTTCTTTTCGTAACAAAATACTGAAGCATTTCACAACAAAAGAAAAGGTTTCCAATGACATAAATAATTCAGATTACTGACTGAATTCAGCTGCTCTATCTGTCTTAGAAGCTCATCTTTTTGGTCATCTAGTCCTGTGACAGCAGCCATTTTCTGAAGCTCTCTCTCCTCCAAAGCAAGTCTGACTTCTTCTTCTTTCTCCTGCAGTTTCAGCCTAATTTCTGATTGCATAGTTGTCAGGGCGAATTCTTTCTCTCTTTCCTGGTAGGCACAGATACATGAACCATTTAACTTAGCTACCGAGTCATTGTTAAATTGCCAAAGGTACTTGACCCAGAACTACAAAGAAAAATAATATAATGAGCTAATTTAAGTTCAAAATTAATTAACAAAATTAATAAGTTGTGGGTGGTTACTTTTGACTGCAGAATTTCATTGTGTGCTTCCTCCTGTGCTGCCATTTTCTCATTCCACATTTTGTCACGTTCTTCCAAAGCTGCAGCTAATTTTTCTGACAGTGTTTTCTCTGATTCTTGCTGTATATTAGACATTAGTTAGGATAAACATTCAGAATTTAACTGATTGCAATAGCAGTTACATTATAAATCTTGTTCTGAACCTTATAAATGTTAACGAAATACTTCAGAAATAACATACAGTATAGCCTGACTATAGTTTGCTCCATCCTATATATATGTATGTATGTGTATATATATATATATATATATATATATATATATATATATATGTGTAACAGTGTTTAATTTAAAGAACTAATTAATTAAATAGAACTTTCAACTGTCACAAATCAATATCAAGATTACAAAAGCTTTGCTTACCTGCAAAACACTGAAAGCTTCTGACTTTCCTCTCTTTAAATCACTTAACATTTTCTCTTTTTCTTCCTCCATGCTCTGTTCTGCCTGCCTTATCCTTTCTTCAGCCTGTTCTAAGGCATGCATCTTGTCTTCTTTCAATCTTTTCATTATTTCCCTAGCTTTATCCAACTGTTCTTTATCTATAATTTCAATAAAACAAAACTTTTATAAAAGTGCATTCAAAAATATCAAACTATTATTTTTTATGATGCTTTTTCTCAGTCTATGTCACCCAGATGGCGAGTCATTTTGAGGTTACCTGACCTAATTAAAGCGCCTCATTTCATTACATGTCTTCAATTAGGATTGAAAGCTTGTATTTTTTTACAATGTTTTTCTGGCATTGTCTATTATTATGTTATTGGGGTTGGTAGCCTAATCAAATTTAAAAAACTAAATATAAATAGGCTTGTAATAAATCCAGAATAGGGTTGCAGTGGATAAATTCTATTCCTGGCCATTTCCAAGTTTAGTACTATTACAATGAAAACATTAACACGTTACCTACAAAACTGATATAAATAAAACCCCTTTACTGTTGTAGGATCAGATTTGGAAAATAATTTAAAGTTGCTTTAAAATTATTTGTTCTGATCCAGAAATAATAGCTAAGTTACTTACTTGCTGTACGCAGGTCCTCAATTTGATTAGCCATTTTCTCTAACTCAAGTTTGAGGTTATTGTTTTCAGCAACAAATTTTTGATTGATTGCTTTTACATGTTCCAGCTCAGCATCTCTTTTCTCCATTTCTTCATGAACCTGCATGATTGAATTCAGAACAATGAGAGCATAAAACAGCAATACTCTAATGACTGCTGCACATTAGACAAGCTATTAATATCTACAGTATCAGACGGATTTTGAGAATTATTATTGAGATTTACCCTTCAGTTTGGAATATGTATTTCTTCTATAATTGATAAATCTTGTCTTTAGTAATCATTTAAAAGAATTTTTTAAAATTTTTATATTTCAGCTATTCACAAATTATATAGTCATGTTCCCTTAATAAAATAAAATAATAATAATGTACCTGTTGTTTGACTTCAGCAATGGCTACCTCCCGGTCTGACTCTAGTTGTTCAATGACCTTTTTAGCTTCCTTAATTTGATTTTGCAGTTTAGTCACTTGCTCTGAAGACTGTTGGGTATTCACATGGACGCCTCCCTGAGAAGACAATAAAAAATGTATTACGAAAAATGTATATTGAACAACAAAGACTAGATATTTGTATAAGCCTTGCAAAGTAACTATCTTTCAATATCTTGTATAACAGATGGGACCAAGTGATAACGAGGCTACCTTTGATGACAGCTCTAGTTTGCCCAGCAAATCCTGTTTATCATGTGAAAGCTGTGTAACCTTTTCTTTGTAGCTAGTAATTGTCTCTTTGCATTTCAGCAGTAATCCATCTTGACGCTTTATCTGAAGATAATTCAAATTTCTTTTAAATTTCACTACTAATCTTACTTCCTTAAGAAATGATATTAATGAATCATCTAATAGTATTATGTCATCATTAAATACTGAAAAAACAGAGGAATCAATGGCTTAGATAAAAATAGTTACCTTTGATTTGAGTAACTCAATCTCTTCATTTTGACTTATCTTTCCTTTGTTGTCAGTGCCAGAAGTTGGTGGAGGTGCTTCAGCTTTAGCTTGTGTGATTGACAATTGGGTTTGTAGCTCTTCTGGAATATCTTTACCTTCCTTCAGTAGTTTAAGCTGTACGACCATTTTGAAGGACACCAAGGTTATTTTTTCATTACATCAAAATTATTAAAAACTTAAATTAAAAAACTATTCATGGCTATGTTTGATTGGTTTTGTATAAAGTTAAAAGGCTGCGACTATTCATACTTGGGTACCAGAAGTGAGAGGTTGGGATTAAAAAACTATTTAAAATATTGTTGTTGGGTTTATAAGACAAAATGAGGTATCAAATGAAAGATGATTGAATGGACTATATGTTTGTAAACTTACTTCTTCAGTTTAGCTAAAATAAACTACCACAAATGACATCCCAATAGCATTGGTCTAATGGGACATGGGTGTGAATGGCGGCGCTGCGTGTCCGGGGCCATTTTGACTTAATACTATTCAGATATCTTTTTTTGGTAGTTTATTTTAGTTAAACTGAAGAAGTAAGTTTACAAACATATAGTCCATTCAATTATCTTTTATTTGATACCTCATTTTTTCTTATAAACCCAACAATAATATTTTTAATAGTTTTTTAATCCCAACCTCTCACTTCTGGTACCCGGGTACGAATAACCACTTTGAAACTAGAATGTTTCAGTCAAATACTTATATGTTATTGAATATATTTTATTTTTTCAAAGTTATTCAATATACAGATACTATCAGTCTTTTCACATAATGTATAATTATTTTAAGTTCCAGCCGAGAAAAGCATGTACAGTATCACTATCAGTTAAAGCTTACTTTCTAGACATGGTATGTGTTACTTTGAATATTTTATGTTCGTGCAATTTTATTGGTGCTTTCCCTTGCATAATTTATTTGAAAACCTAATGTCAGCTAACCTGCATGTTGAGCACCTTCATGTATTCATCCTTCTCATCCAACAGAAGTCTATAGTTGTCTTCCAGATCCCTTTTAGCCAACTGATCAAGCTGAATCTGCTCTCTTAGTTCTGACATTCTACGAAATGCTCTGTCTTGACACTGTGCCATTGTGGACTGAATGAGCAAGTATAGCTAGATAAATTATATATTTTAGAGGCTAATAAATAATTGTGTGTAAATCATACTGACCACCTTTATAACATAACAGAGGAAAATGAAGTGGTTTACTTCAATAATGAATACATGTGTTAAACCAGTGGTTCCCAATGTTTTTTACTAGTGAATCCCTATTTAGAACTAATTTTTTTTTTAGGGGGATCCCCTTAGGCCTAACCTACATTTTACAAGTTAATGGCATTTTATTTCCTGGGAGTGCATGCATTGGGAACCTCTGTGTTCAGTACTTTACTCTTTTTATAAAAAAAAAATATTTTCTTATCTGAAACATTCTTACCTTTAATTTCTCTCTCTCCTGCAGCATGTCTTTATATGCTGTTGCAAGCTGTATGGAAAAAGTACATTTATATTTCATGACTGAACCTATGTAAACATTTAAAAAATTAGACCAACAGCAATAAATCAGGTGTTTTTTTTAAATTAGAACCACTCAAGACTACCTGGTCGTCCCAAATTAATGTAAAATTAAGACTATTTCTTTAGTGTCAAACCTACTTCCATAAACTTGGATTTGTATTTGAAGGCTCTGCGCTCAAACCGCTTTACAAAAGCATAGAGGTCTTCTTTAGAGACAGCAGAAAGGTTCACTGATGTCTCTTCTACTTCACTTTCTACATCTGATGGCACATAGTAACTATGTGAGAAGCTAACATTTGGAAAAAAGGAGCTATCACTTGTCATTGAACTGATAGAAGATGTGCGTGATCTCCCTCCTTTTGGTGTCTCATCTCCACGCACAGAGCTCATGTCTGATGCAGTCTGTAATTAACCAAAGTTTTAACATTTTTTAAATTTCACTTTTCAAGTTTCAATAGAGCAACCTTACAAACCCCAGTGATTAAAACTTAGATTTTTAAAAATTGAAGTCCCTTTCAATTTAATTTTTGTACAATGTTTACTGAAGTACTTAAAACTGTATTAAAATTTATTATTTTTAGTCTATAAAAAAATCACTGTTTTTCTATGGTATAGTTTAGATTGTTGAATCATTTATTTAGGTCCACGATGTTTTAACAAACCTCATATGATGTAGAATCTGTTCCCTCAAACAATGGAATGTCAACAAGCTGCCCAGTAGGAACATTGGCACTAGACCCATTAAGATTTCCTGAAATGTAACCATCTTTCTGTGGAGTACTCTCAGCAATGGGTTTACCAATAGACTCTGTGGAGGTATTTTTTTCATCTCCCTTAAAAAAAGAACATTATAATATTATTTCTACTACTGTCTACTTAGAAAAATGTAGGTGCTCAAATATTTGCTTTCCGACAGTGGAACACCAAAGACTATGAAATTTAATAAGTGACGGAACATTGTTGAGAAAATTTGTTGGTTTGTTTCTAGAAATAGGAAAACTTCCAAATTTCTCTTTTGGTGCCACTATTGATGGCATTTTGAGTTTAAATATTGTGTTTCTGCAATCCAGGTCTTGGTGACTTATATAACTTTTCTTCTGGATTTAAGAAGAAAAATTGCTTATGGCACTAGAGGCACTAGAACATATTTGGTAGTAATTACTTTGATATCATAAAGACTTATGGGAAATACTCTTGGACAGGTCTTGAGCTGGAAGAACCAGGAAAGCTCTAACATTATACAGGGTTTCTATGTAAATTTGGTATCAATACCCTTTATTCAGTAAATAACTTAAATTTTTGCCTCAATTAAGGCACACTCTGTAGCAGACACTAAGAAAAAAAGGGATCAGCATGGAAATGTAGAGGAAATCCAAAGTTCTTGATTAGAATTTTAACAGATACATGGTGCATTGTTCAGCCTAGATGGATTGAGTCAGCAATTGAAAGGTGTCAGATATTTTTTTACAAATGCTGAAAATGAGCACAAGTGAAGGGTCAAGAAATGGCATATTATGTGAAAGTGATGAAAATATCTCTATTTTAAGGTCATAAATAGAATAATTAACCTACTATTAATGCTATAGTAATGGCCTAGAAAATTTTCTAATCGTCTTGTTTTAAGTAATATACTTAGATATAGGCCTAGGCTAAATTTTAAATATCTTATTCATTTTTTAAGTGAGACGAAGACGAAGTTGTAGGATATGGGTCAAGATTGTTTTGATATTAATATTATGAAGGGCTTGCATATCTCAATTAAATAGTAATAGAATAGACATGTCAGTTTGAGAGTTGAAAATCAAGTTACTGAGACTCAACTGGTTAAATACCATGAGTTGGTAGGAGCGGCTGAGCAATTCGTTTGTTATGGCCACAAGCGGCTGGTAGCGCCAAAGTTTGTATCGTAGTAAATCGAGTCAAATATTTATATTATTCCATTCCTGTTTTGCTTCGAGATTTTCATTTACCGACAGGATGTTTATATTCGAACCACATGCTATCGACAGAATGTTTTAAAAAAGAACTGTTAATTAATTTTGATTTAATTTCCAAGCTGTTACAAAGTTGTACTTCTTGTTTACATTGGCAAAAAGTGACGGGGTTAGACTAAAGGCATAAAAGTGATTGGAAGTGTAAATATTATTCAATATCTGTGTTCTTTGGTGCATTTTTCTTATTATGGAATATACTATTTGGAAACTACCAAATAAAAGGCTTTAAATAATTTGGAAATTTACAATTTATACGTAAATTCGCACATTTATATATTTTTTTATTGATTTTCTGTTGTACATACTACTTTAACAATTAATAATTCCCAACAAACTTAACTTTACAAATGTTTTAAGTTTAAGTTTATCTTATAGACAATTCAATTACCTACAAAATGGTTAATTAATCATTAGAATATGTTTATAATTTAGAAAACTGCACATGAATTTGTACAGACACCTAAAATTATAAATAAAATATAAATTATGATTGTATTAGTATTACTACTACTACTACTACTACTAGGGGTAGGGCTAAAATTATTTCAACTATCACTATTCAATTATTGTGTGTATTTTTATCACGTAGTACAAGTAGACCTACTGCAATCATTTTCATTTACAATGTTGAAATGTATTTGTTATTGTTTTCATTCCATGATTCCATGCCATGGTCTGTGGTTCTGGCATGCATCATGTATGGAAATTAAATATTCATAAATAAACACTGATTGACTAAAATGACGGTAAAGAGTGCAGCGTAGGCTACTCAGCATTTATTTATTGTGACACAGGTACGCTAACTTAGTCTCACTCTTCTAACTCATACTCGTACTTAATCTTAGTACTAGCACTAGTCACTAAGACTTACCTTAGCTGCTGCTGCCAGCCCTGAAACTGCCGCTTTCGACTGAGCGACTCCCTGTTCTATTTTCTTTTTTAAATTCTTAAACATTGTAAATGTTTAAGAAAACTCTCAAAAAATGCAAATATACTAATTATATAATGTTATTAGACCTAATTTAATATACTAAACATGTTTAGAAGAGTGTTTACGGACACGTCTCAGGGCACTCTCCTTTGATAGAAATAAAAACAAACATAAAAATGATCGGTTTCAAAATGGGGCAAATTTATTAGGACAACTTTATAACTTCCGAAAAATGTTGTTGGTTTGATTTATGACAACCATGAAAAGAATATAGAACGATGGGTCTTAGATAGCTAAATTTGATTCCCAAAACATAGTTATACAATCAGTTTTGCATTGTGAATTTTGGGTATTTGAAAGGAATAGACCTCACGCTCTTTTCGACAACCTGGCCTTATTTTTCCCATGCCCCACTTTAATTATCTAAATCACCTATAAGCATGGTTTCTTGCAGCTACATCTCCGGGAAGTTGCCCCCCCCCCCCCCCAGCAAAAAAAATTCCAAAAAAAAAAAACTGAAAAAACACTGGGCCATCCATAAAGGACGTCTAAAAAAAAAAAAGGGGGGGGGGGTGTGTGTCAGATTTTTGTGACGAGAGGGAGGGGGCCCTCAAGCCATGCGACGTCACATGAAAAGCAGGATGTTGCAGTAAAGAATTTCACTTGATAACACTAAATTACAGACATTTTTAACATTTTTTTTTTTTTTAACAATTATAATTATTTTATTTAAAACCTACTATCACTGAGAGAATCAGTTCAGTAGGTATGCGAGGACCGAAGAATGGCCTCTGATCAAGTTACAGGACGCCCAGTAGTAGGAGAATCTGAATGTAGTTACAATGACTGTCGTGAGAATTTATGGCTAAATCTGGACAAGGGAAGTGGGGGGGGGGGGGTTGGCCGCGGGCTGGTGGGTTATTCTTAGTAAGGGGTAATAAGGGGAGAGACTGCAATTAGGTTAGTACAAAATAAAATGAGTAAAACAGAGTAGGGTTAAACCTGAAAAAATAAACGCAACAAAACCGTGAACGTGTCGGCAGAAAGCCTTCGTCAGCGAACAAAACAACAGAAAAAAACGGTATAAAAATAAGAAATAACACTTAGCTGGTAAGTAGTATCTGTGGGCAGCAATAGAAGTGTGGCAGAAGGAAAATGAGTGAGAGTTTAAATATGCAGCGGCGAAAAAAAGGGGGAGAAAAATATTCATTGTGATAGGTCAGAACGTGGAGGGGCGGAGCTAGGGTCAAGCTGTGAACAGAGACATAACCTTAATCCCATCTGGCGTCAAAGTGCCGTAAGTCAGGATAAGTCTGTGTTCCAAATTGACCCGGCTGGCGGTGTTCGTGCTAGCCACAATCGCACTTATTGAAAAGTCCGCCTTGCCCTGGTGGTCGCTACTATTGAAGTGTTTGGAGACGGGACACTGTTTATCTTGTATAATGTTTCGGAGGTGTTCGGTACACCTGTCTGGGAGACGGCGTCCAGTCTCCCCTATGTATGTCATCTGACAGCGGGTGCAGACAATGGCGTAGATAACGTTGCGGCTTGTACAGAGGAAACCGTCGCGTATCTGAAAACTGGTTGCAAATAATATTCTTAGTAAATATTCTAGTCTCTAGGCCAGGGATTCTTAATCTTTTTTGCAGCGTTGCAGGCCGACTCCGTTTTAAACATCCCTCCCCCAACCGTATAAATTACATTGTAAGAAAATTTAAAATAATTTAGTTATCGTAGTTTTATTTCTTTAATTAAGTTTTACAAACAGGGGGGGGGGGAATTACCAATGCACACAATGCGCCAATGAAATCCACCATTGACTGCTGCTAATCAAAATCCATAAAAACTTCTTTTTTTACTTAAAGCAGCAACAACTAGCTATTGCAGCAAATAGAATCAGTGGCGTAGCTAGCGTTGGTGTCACCCGGTCCGGTAAGCTCCTTGTGTCATCGCCACCCCACCCCCTTTTTTTTACTATGCATTTCTTCTTGTTAAACTTAGTCCACAGTATAAGAAATACAAGAACAAAAACAAATTAATTGAAGGTCAGTGGGTAAATGTATTTAAGAACGGCAACGTTCTTAGAATCGCCCATTGTTATCAAAGGATAGTTCAAAATAGTTGTATTTCTCAGAATTTAGATTCTGCCACTTACAAAAGTTACCGAACACTTCATTCGGTGATGAAACGTGGTCAAAACGGTGGGTTTCTGACCCACTAATAATCAATAAGGTAACCCAATTGCTGACGGGTCAACCTTGACATTTTAATATTAACGAAACACGCATTTTGATTGGTTACACGGGTGGAAAATATACGAGTTTTCCTTTGATGAATTTCGGTTAGACCGATCAGTGTGTGCTCTGTAATTACGCTATCTTTCAATTTGGTGTCACCCCCCTTGAGATGGTGTCGGCCGGTGCGGTCCGCACCCCCTAGCTACGCAACTGAATACAATTTTTTGGTCTTCCACACCTCAAAGCTGGGGAGGTACTTGTACCCCTGGTTAAGAACCACTGATCTATTGAAATGTTTCTTACACGGGTGCAGTAATTTGATATCCATGGGACTCGAATTTCTTAAGGGCTTGTAAAGGACAGTAGTGGACACAGGGCCTTTTTATAGAGGGGGGCGTACTGAGTTTTGTGACGTTATATTTGAAGGGGGGGGGGGGTCTAAAATTTTGGGACGGGGGGGGGAAGGGGGGAAAAAATCGGGAAAATATTCTTAAGGGCTTGTAAAGGACAGTAGTGGACACAGGGCCTTTTTATAGAGGGGGGCGTACTGAGTTTTGTGACGTTATATTTGAAGGGGGGGGGGGTCTAAAATTTTGTGACGGTGGGGGGAAGGGGGTAAAAAATCGGCAAAATTTGCGTGACGTCATTTATGCATTGCCCCTAAAATGGGTTTTATATTCGCCATTGGCGTACCTTGTAAATGTCGCCCAGGGCCAGGGCGAACTCCCTAAAAGTACGCCCAATTTAACCATAAATATTTTATATAATGTTATATAACTTGTATATTAACTGCAAATTGCCCGGGACGGTAACTCCACCGCAGGTTCGCCTCTTAATGCAACAATGCCTATCTGACAGATTAGCTACCATTTCACTGCTGAACTTTCATGCGGGCCGCCCAGTTCCCACCAATGTTTAGAAATTATTAATGAAATACTGCACTACTATTATTTGAAAAATAAGCGATTTCATAGAGACTGGAACTCTAATGAGTTTTTAAGCCAATTAAACAAATTTGAAAGGATGTATCAATGATTCAAAGAAAACTAAATATCACTAAATTTAATTATTTGTATAATTTAAAATTGCTCCTAGCAATAACACTTTCAAATATAAAAATAAACATTTAGACATCCTACCACAAAATTGATATAAATAGAAAGACATTCCTTTTTTTTTTTTGCACTTAGAACACTACTTATTTTTTTTTTTATTTAACCAATCATAAGCATATAAAAATATTTATTTCATAGCATGCTCAATTCAACACAAAATGAAAGAACATAACACTTATATGATGAGTTTTGTTTAAATTGCTTATATTTAAGACTGTACTTACGACAAATTACAAATAAAGAGTACCTTATTTTTTTATACTAGAAATCTTCACTATGTCATTGTCATTAAAAATTGTACCACACCAACAGGCATTTTTAAAATAATTATAATTATTTAAATAATTTAAAAAGAAAATTTAGTATACAACTGCTATACTTCTTAGTATGCCTTTTATATTTCCATACAGTATCTTAGATACATTTCACACATTACTGGTTTCTTACGTATAAGTATTACAATGCATAGTTGGTAATAAATTCCATCACCAACTAAAATAATTGAAAAATATTCACACCACCTTAAGACAGCTAATATTATTGCTAAATTAAAGAGGTTTGGTCTTTTTTCATAATAATCAAAGCAATTTAAGAAAAAAACACAATCCCACATAGAAAAATACAGAAAAAGAAATAAATTTCAAAATAAAATAAAGAATGTCCGGGGCATTAGAGACATGAAATTCAATCAAACAAATATAAACCTTTTATTAATCAATGATGGTGCGTTGTAAATTGATAGAATAGAAAAACAAACAATCACAATATGTTTTAGCGTGATGACTTAGTTCTGTGGTCTCTTAAACATTTTGTTGTGCAGAATTTGTAGTCTGAATACTCAAAGGGTACCTTTCCAGTAATGTCTGATCCACATTGCCAACATCGACTTAATAAAGGTTGAAATTATACAAATTAATTTTACTTGCATAAAAAGAAAAGAATATCTAACAACTTATTAAGAAATTAACATTTATTTATTAGAATTAGATATACAATATTACATGTCTCTGCATTGCTGTATAGCAAAGGTTAAGTTGCCATTTAAAATAAAAAACAAAAATTTCCATGAATAATAATTATTAGAGCAATGAAGAGTGTCTTTACAATTTTACCTGAGAACTGGCATCACTGTCCCTGTTTCAGCACTTTGTTGAAGTAATCTTCTTTCTGCTGCTAGAGCTCTCTAATAAAATATAAAATATGTTAGATGCTAGCAGAGGCAAAAAATATAAAAAAGTTTAAACTGATAAAAACCAAAGAAACAAATATACTGATTGTTGTTGTTCATCCTTTGCATGCAAAGATGACCAAGGCTATATTACACTGTGAGCACACAGGTGGCCTGCCAATCCTATTTTTGCATTTCCCACATTTGGGACACATGTTGTTTTGGGTCCTAGTAGGATTTGAGTCGATTTTGCTTTTTCTTGCATTGCGCTTTCTTTGTGCATGAGCAGTGCACTTATTCTTTGAGGATTTCACTCCGACAGTGACTCTGTCATCCCAGCTTGCACAGTCTTTGGCAAGTGTCACCCACAAATCAAGTTCAATGTCCATTGATTTAAGAGAAGATTTTAGACTTCTTTTTCTGCCCACCAACTGAGCGTTTCCCATAGAAGAGCTCACTGAACATAAGTCATTTGGGAAGTCCACTGTCTGGCATTCTTGTGATATGCCCTTCCCACCTGGCTTGTCCTGTGTGTTGAGTGTGCGGATGCTGATGCAATCGGCCCATTGTAGGAAGTCTGTCCTGCCATCTTATGCCAAGAAGTTTACAAAGGCAGCAGGTGGATACGGTTTGGCTGTTTAACATGTCTGCTGTACACTGTCCACATCTCATTAGGATTTAGGAGTGATGTTAATATGATTGCCCTATATACCTTCAGCTTAGTGAAAAGACTGAGCCTTCATTCTCACACACTGCTGCAGAGCCTTCCAAATGCAATATTTGCTTTGAAAATATGGTTATTGATCTCATCATCTATTGTTGGTGAGCTGGAGAAGGTGCTGCCTAAATATGTGAATTTTTCTACTGCTTGGAGATTCTGTCCCTTCACTGATATTTTATATTCTTTTTAAGTTTTCCCTGGAGCTGGCTGGTGCAAAATCTCTGTCTTTTTCATATGGATGGTCAGGCCGTAGTTGTCACAGGGCTTAGCAAAATGATTAAGTATTTGCTGCATTTGTATTTCCGAACTTTCATTTAGGGCGTAAACAAGTCTTGAATAACCATTTCTTTAATTTTCATAATAGCTTGCAGTCTCCTAAGATTAAATAGTCCACCATTTTTCCTCTATCTTATAGGAATGGTGTCATTATTGTAAAGAAAAGCATCAGTCAGCATTGCTGACACTAACCATGCTAAAAAGTGATGGTGATAGAACACAGCCTTGTTTTATGCCAGGAAAAGCCACAGAATCCTCTCCAGAATCCATCACCCTGGCCATCATACAATTATGGAATTGACGTACTATTGTACGGTACTAAATCTATTCGGACAGCCAAACGTCTCCGTTATCTTCCAGAGGCCATCTCTACTGATTGAGTCAAATGCTTTGGTCAGATCAACAAAGGTGATGAACTGGACGCTGTGTTGCTCTTGAAATTTTTCCTAGAGTTGGCATGCTGCAAATATCATGTCAACTGTACCTTGTTCTGAAGTGAATCCACACTGGCTTTCAGGAAGTAGTCCCTGTTCAAGGTATAGATGTATACAATTAAGTAGGACTCTGGCCAAGATTGTCCCAGCTATGGTAAGGAGAGAAATAACTCAATAGTTGTCACAGGTTTGGCGACTGCCCTTTCTCTTATATATCCATATTAAATTTGCATCCTTGAATTGCTGAGGGACAGAGCCATCTTTCCATATCGACTCAAATAGCTCTGTCAGTTTTTTTGTAAGGATGGGCCTCCTACTTTGTAGATTTCAGCAGGGATTGCATCTTGTCGTAGGACTTTATTTGAGGAGAGTTGCTGGAATGCCATCCCGACTTGATCTTCATTGGGACTATTGTATAGCTCTTGGTTTATCTCCAACTGTGGTAAACGGGCAAGGGCATTATCGGTTGTAGCATCCAGACAGTTAAGGACTTGACAAAAGTGTTCAGCCCATCTTTCTAAAATCTGACTCTTGTCTGTCAGTAGCTGAGTTCCATCTTTGCTAACAATGAGCAAGCAGCCTGAAGACTGTGGTCCACAGACTTTTTTAATGGCATTGTAGAAAAGTTTGTTACCATGTCCACCGGCATAGCCCTGAATTTCATCAGACTTCTGACAGAGCCATAAATCCTGCATTTCACAAAGTTTCTTTTGCACTTTCTGTTGTATTTTGGTGAGAGCATCTTTCTTTACTTGTGACGCCCTGATGTTTATCGTTTAGTAGTGAATGGATCTCATCATTATCATCACACCAATCTTTATTTCTGCGGGTTGTTGGTCTGAGGTGTTCTAGAGCAGTCAAGTGGATAGTATCTCTTGATTTAGACCATTTCGAATCAATATTTTTATTTTCCTCAGAGGTATAATCGCCCAGTCTATGTTCGAGTTCAATGGGAAAATTGTAAGCCATGTTTGTGTACTTAAGCTTTTGCACATTAAGATTTGTTTTTAAATTTCTAGCCTTGAAGTCTTCTCATGGGCATGATTGTAACTTTAATTTGGAAAATATAAGTCAATGGTCAGTCCAGCATTCAGCAACACACATAGCTTTGGTTACTCCAACATCTTGTATGTGATTTTTTTCTGGTGATGACATAGTCAATCATGTTTTGCATCTAGAAAGTCATTTTTTGCGTGGGAAGGCGGTAGAATATGTTGGTGATAGCATGGTCATTTGTAGTGTACAAAGTTAGGAGAAGTAGACCGCTGCTGTTACACTTTCCATCACCATGTCTTCCGATAGTCCCTTTGCATGTCTGGTGGTCTGTTCCAACTCTAGCATTGAAGTGCCCAAGGATAATGAGCTTCTCTGATTTTGGAACTTTTGAGACGACATTGTCTAGTTCTTCATATAATTTGTTTTTGGTTTCCTCAGAACTTGTCATCATTGGAGCATAAGCACATATGAGTGTGTCTCCTTTATGTTTGAATAAAGGGAGCCTAAATGTCATCAAACAGCCGTTGATGCCTTCTGGTAGCTTTGAGAGTGTGCGGGGAATGTTTGTTTTTATGGCAAAGCCAACACCAAATTCTCATCATTCGTTACAGCAGCGGCCACTCAAGAAAAAAATGTATCCGCCTCTAAGCTCTGTCAATTAACTTTTTTCTGGTGGCCATGTTTCTGATGGGGCTGCTATGTCAATATTGTATTTCTTGAGCTCTTTTGCAACAAGTGCAGCATGCTGCTCTGGTCTATTTGCTTTGGGGTTATCCATCAACGTTGGTACATTTCAGGCACCAACATTTATTGTTTTTGATTTGATCTTATTAGTGCTGTGACCACCTCCAGGGAGTTTTTGCCAGACAAAATTTGTGGTGTCTGAAAAACTTCTTCCATTTTCCTCCACAAATAAGGTGAAAAATGGTGGTCTCAACAGGGTAACCTAGATATCGAGAGGAAACAGCCCTGACATGTACTTTATTTTGATTAAAGTGAGGGGGAAGTAAATCAAAAAGTAATGGTTCACAAACAGAAAACCAAAACTGATCAAAAATTACTAAACAATTTTAGGAGGAAAAAACAACTTATGAAAATCATACACAACGTTATTTATTTTAAATAAGTGAATGGTTTTATACAAATAATAACAACCACCTAAAATATTAATAACAAAAATACCTTCTCTCTCTCAGATAATCCCAAAAATCTTTCTTTCTCTCTGTTTTCTTCTTTAATGACTGCTTCTGCTGCTTTTTTCTCCTACATTAAAAAAAAAATTATTATAATTGCAAACTTACAATTACCATGTCTTCTAATGTGGTTTGGCATACAAGTACTTAGGTGTCACCATTAATAATAAGCTAACATGGCCAAATCCTGTATAAGAAATTCAACGAAGACTGTTCTACCTCAAAAAACTGTACAATTTTGGCGTAAACAAGCAAGTCGTTAACTTATTTTACAGTGCAACTATTGGAAGCCTGCTTAATTTCAGTATTACCTGCTGGTGTGGGAATTCAACGTCTGTTATTAAACACCGCATAAACCGACTAATCAAGAAAGCTAGAAACATAACACAAACTAAACATCCTTCATTTGAAGAACTATTTGAAGAAAGATGTTTTTGCAAAACTAAACAATTTTGGATGATACATCCCACCCTCTTCATCCTAGATACTTAGGATCGGGCCGTTTGGGACAAATTCTTTCCATCAGGGCGAGGACTGACGGATATAAAAATTCTTTTGTTCCCCAATCTGTACGAATTTACCGGCGTGCTTCCTCTGAAGTCACACATCTGAATGAGACCTAATAAGTCCTTGATTTTGCTAAGATAACTCACTGAATGGCTGTTTGAAATAATTATAAATGTCTCGTGTTCAAATTGTTTTATTTTTGTGCTGAAAATGTATAATGCAATCAAAAAACATTTCCATTTATTTGGATCAATAAAAGAATCTTACCTTATGTTTTTCCATGATCATAAGTAACTTATTTAAATTAGTCTTAGGTATGGAGAAATGGTTGACCCGAAATAGAGTGTATGTGGCAGTAGAAGATATTGATTACATGTTTTTTTACTCTAGATGACACCTGTGTTCCGCCTGTCACATTCAATTTAATTACTTGTCAACAAATTAAAATATTTAGAGAATCGAATTCAAGCTTTTTTTGTGTATTCCAAAAAAACCCCCCAAAAATTAACTAAATATAACAAGAAAAAAACATCTTCTGCAAAACAATACCCAGTAATGAGTTTTACCTTGTTACGCTCATTCAATGCTTTCTTTTTGGCTTTCTTCTTCTCTGCAGCTTTTAGTTTTTTCTCTGCTTCCATCTCAGCAGTAAGAGGACTAGGGATCTAAATAATACAAATTAACTTTGACCAAATCACTTAAAGAAATGACAAGTGAAAACAAAATACAAAAATTTGATGCCTAATGAATCTTTATGAGAAAAGCAAAATCTTTTTTTTTCCTTTTTTCTTATAAAGTTTACCTGGGCTTTAACATAATCATAACGGTCAGGAAAATTTGCCATGAAGCGTCGAAATGCATTTCTCACATCCATTCCTCCCAGGTAGTATGGTGTTTTACCAGTTTTATCTCTGTAGAGAGAAGAAGATTATTTTTGTTTTTAAAAAAAAGGATAAGGCTTATCATTTAAAAAACACACATAAAATTATCAAGTCCAGTTATTTAATAAATAGATTGACAACTTACCGTAATGATGGATCGGCGCCAGCTTCAAGTAATGCTGTAACAACTTCATGGTGGCCCTCTTTAGCAGCCAGGTGCAAGTAGGTAATCTCATTATCATTGACTGGTCTATTTAGGAAATCTGGCAAGTTATGGATTTCATGTTTACCATTAAAATAGGAGCCGGTAGGAGCACTGTCCTCATTAGGACAGTCCCCTTGTCTGGATGAGTCTGTGCAAATGACAGATATTGCAGCTGTATTGGTCTCGTTTTCAGAGCGTGTTAGATTGTTTGTAACAGCAGAGTCAAGTTTATTCATTGTTTGTCCTTGATCCTGACATTGGCAGCTTTCTGTGGCTATATGGAGATCTGCCTGTTGAGCTGAGCTTATAATGTGTATGTCCTTATTGTGTAAACTAAGTTTACACATGTCAGCAGCACATGAATGTGAATCCTGAATATCTTTTAGAACAGTCTTTAAGACTTGGACATCACCTGTTTTACACATTGTAAATAAGTGATTTCTCAGTCGGGTTGTTTCATCCTCTGAAAGAATGCCAAATCAGCCAGCTTAAAATACAAACTTACGACAAAATGCACATAAAATAAGAATGTTTTTTTTAGAAATAAAAGAACTTCTAAAAAAGGTCAAATTGGGCATTAATTTGGGCAGTACATCTCCACCTTCCAATATATGTTTTATCTTTGCCTCATCAGCATCTTTGTTAACAGTCATTTCATTACATTTTAGAGTAAGTCATTATGCCATACCTAATTTATTTTCCTTAGTTGATTTCTGACTTTTTCCCAGATCAGCTTTTGATTTTTTATAGGTTTTGTGTCTAACAGAGCTGTCAAACTGTTTAAGTTCAGAAAAATCAATTTCTTCTTGTGTCTCAACCAAATCGCACTCAGTATCAACCATCTCTTCTGGAAATCTCTCAAGGTCATCAGATGAATTGTGCTCTACAAGATTAAAATAATATTATATAATCCCAAAAAGTATTAATCTCCACTTGAAAATTGCTTCAAGGATTATCATTGTGGAACATATTTATTTTGAAAGTTTCAGAATTTGTTAAATCATTATACTTGTCAATTTACTATTTTCAGTTTGTTGTTTTTTCTTGCTCCGTAACTGAGTCCCTTTGCCAAATTGATTAGCATCCTTTGCAACTCTAGAAGGTGAAGTCTTTGGTATAAAGCTTTCCACATCTGCATCTTTTCCTGAGAAATCAAATTTATTTAAACTTCATGCCACAAAAAAAAATAATCTAAATATATTGAAATAAAAAGTTGCTTTGGAACAAACTTGACAGATCAAATGACCATCAGATACTGGGGTGGCTGTTCCAGAAAAATATGTATTAAGTCCAAGACCGAAGTACTTTAAAAATGAATTCCAGACTAAACACTATGGTCAGCTTTAAAATGATGAGCATTTACTAATTTTAACTTTTGCCGAGACTTGCTAGACAAAATCCAAGTCCCACTTCGATTAAATCTGATGCTCAAGTCTAGCTTACCTAATTAGTGATTTTTTAAAAATCTTAATTTATTATCAAATTACTTTTTAGTCACTGTTTTTCTAACAGCTTTATGGCAAGACTGCATATATGTTTATTTACCATAACATTCCACAGATGCAAGGATCTGATGCACTCTCTGGACCTCGCTGAATGTCGGTCTTCTTGTTATTAATGGGATCACCCTTAACCGAAGATCATCTTTTTTAAAGGATGGATTCTTACCACCAAAGAGCATGACTTTGCTGGCTACAGGAACTCGCAAAAACACAAAGTCACAAGACTTTATGTGACCTCCCCAGCTAGATAAGAGATCTTGCACCTCCTGAATTGATTTAAAAAATACAAATAATAAATTTTTCATTACAATTCTGGATATCCTAATTATATGTTAATCAATTTAAAGTATATTTTTTATTATGGTATCTTAAATTCTCTGTGACATATAATTTACGAGTTTAAAAAAAAATCTTCTTAACTAAATTTGAAATATATAATCAGCCTTAACAATAGCACAGTGATTGTATTAAAATACAATCCTTAGTGTACAGGTGATTTTTTTAGAATTAATGAAATGTAATAAGTATCTAAAACCAGATTAAAAAATGATATTGAAAACAATAAAATTGGTGGATTCATTAAATGCATCTCAAAATAGAAGGGTTTGCAGGCAACGCCAGTTACCGCCACTGACTAATAAAGGTGTTTCATTCTAATTAATAACATCAAATAGCAAAACTATCAAACATTACCAGCCACCTCAGGAGACCATGTGAGTATAATTAAAATCAGAAAAACATTGTGGATGAACACTCACTTGAGTCAACGCTGCCTCATTGTACCTTCTCAGAGTGGCCCCAGCACTTTTAGGGGCACCGCCTTGACTGTCCTTGCTAGATTGGGCAGTACCACGTTTTGCTCTCACAGTATAGCGATGAAATGTTTTGTGTTCTACAACTTCTTTTCTGGAACAATAATATATTGCATAACAACACTATTGTTATGCCTTATAGGAGTATATCATCAGTATTTTAAAAAAAAAATGTTATTTGGATATTTATGAAGTAAATGATAGTCAACAGAAACTCTTTGCATGAAATTATCTTGAGTAAGTAGTAGAATAATATCAACATTCAAACCAAAGAAGATATAGAATTACATGTGTACTAAATGTAAATAATTATGACTTAAAATGAAAGGATATATTTAGATAATGCTCTTCATGTAGGTAGCATATTTTTGGTGATGTTAATGCAAGTCTCAAAAATCAGAAAAAAATAATCTGCTGTGAAACAAAAGCTTTGATTTGTTTTGAAAGCATTCTTTGCAGCGAACACTTTTTGGCAGACACATGTAGAAAGGAAAATGAAGCATAATAGTCAGAAATTCTCCATGCATAAGGGTATTCATTACGCACTGTGATGATATTAAATGAACGAAGTCCAAAACCTGTTTCTGCTTAAAGGTATAGTTTTCAGGCTTACTTTTGATATTTTTTTACACTACATCTAATACATGATCTGTGCATTCCATTTTCAAATGTATTGCATGCCAAGTTTTAGACCTTTCAAAACAGGTTTTGAATTTTGTTGAGCGGACGTCTGAAATAATACCTGAACATTAAGAAAATTATATATTTTAAATCAATTTTTGTTCATTCTTCATTCTCTGCATGTTTAAATAAAAGTCTAAATATGTGAAAAGATATATCTCTGCAAGATAGGCAGTTAATAAAATCTGATTTTCATGAACTGTGCAGTTTCACAATCTTAAAAATTAATGGTCAGGTCTATTTTAATACCCGTGAAATACAGCTCCAGCAAAATGACCAGAAGACACCATCAGGATTATCCACTTTGATTTTTCAGGAAGTTGACTTATTGCTGAGACCATTTCTTCTCTTTCATTAATAGGGCTCTAAGCAAAAAGAATAAACAAAATGAAATCAACAATAAGTGTACATGATCATACAAAGTACCAAGTAGATAAAAAGTATTTTTAAAGAAATGAAAACTTTTAAAAATTATAATGATTTGTTCTTTGATCAAGTGTGACATAATTTTTCAAAGATATTCTCTTAAACTAAAACAATCAGCTTCAAATATTTTTTATTAAATGAAATAAAATGAATTTGGCAAAAGACTATCGGGCTTGAGTGCAAAAAAATTAAATTGCCTAAACTATTCAAAATATTTAAAAAAACGTGAACCAACCTTTTTATGGTGCAAAAGACAGCGATGAACAGATAAAAGTTCACCATCTTTATTTTTGAAAAAGACTTTATGAAATGCTCGCTGGCTTAGAGCTTCGCTGTCTTTTTCTTTAGTGTGAGGAAACTCTTCTTTAGGTAAATAATGATCCCTCATGTTATCTTCATCCTCATCATCTGATCCAGATATGCTAGAGACGTCTCCTTGAAAGGATAACCAGATATATGGATCAACTATATGGCAAGAAAATAGATTAATGTAATATAATTTTGTGAATTACAGCAGATAAAGAGTGTTTGTTTTAACTAATGGCATGGCTCCAATAAAAGGTACCTGCTATCTTCTCAAATTCTTCATCCGATACTGGGGGAACATTTCTCAAACGGCAGTGAAGGTTGTATCTGTGCCAGTCACATTTATAGTGTCCAATCTAACAAGAAACGTAATAGCTAGAAAAATATTGCACTCATTCTTTTATGTTCAGATTTGTACTAGCTTAACAAAAGCGACATAGCTATTTGTTCCCCTCAGAATTTTTTTGAGTAGTTTCCTTGATTTTGACACTTCTACTATTAGACATAAAAATAAAATAGCATAAAAATAAATCTTAAATTAATAATTCGGAATTTTAAAAAAATAGTTTTAAAATGTTATCATTTCATAACTGAGGGCAAATTATCAAGTGAGGGGAATAGAAAAATAAATATTTATAATATAATTAAAATATTCTAAAAAGGTGCTTTTTATATTTTTCTAAAACCAGATAGCATAGTTGCCAGTGTTTTTAATTTTAGAATAATATTTTCAAGTTTAAAGTGAATGTTTAAAGTAAAATTTTTCCTGCTAAAAAAAATACAACACAATTTACATTTACTATATTAATAATATCCTTCAAATTATTATTTTGCTACAAGATGTCAAAAACCTGCTCTCACCTGTTCCTCTCTATCAGCAAACTGAATCTGACAACAGTTACAAAACAAGGATTCAGAAACTGTAACTTTAGATGGATCTTCAGATTTAGAGCCTGGAAGTTACAACAAATGAAAATAATGATTCAAGCAAATAATAATTTAAAATATTTTATTCAAGAGTTATCTAGCCTTAGCTTTTAAATTCTTGAATATGAAAAATTACTATGTTTAACTACCCCTTGCACATTTCAAGCTTTCCAAATGCTGTTTTTAATTTTTTTATATTTCCTTTCACACAGCTTGATTTAAGACATTTAAGTCTCTATAATATTATCCTCATATGTATATTGCCTCCAGTAATTTAGGACTGTGGCTAGTGTTCAAGAACTATTTTTAATGTCATTTAATATAATCAAATGCAAGAAATAGTCCACATTACAAGTGTCTTCAACAACACTTGACTCTTTGACATCTGATGGCAACTCTGACAAGCTAGCTCTCAAATCATTTGTATGGATGATTATTTCTGAAATTTTCAGTTTTCCTGATGGCTCAAATATCATATGACTAGAATAGTCATGCTGAAGTCTATGGGTCATCCTTTTTTCAGGATCTGAAAGTTAAAGCAAAGGTATATTATAATTATAATAATTGATACATACAATATGTGACATCTCCATGTATATCATATCATATTTCATATAATATAATATTATACTTAAAATTATGTTTTATATTATAAAACACTGTAACTGTAAGTTGTAATTGTAATTGTTAGAGGGTAGCAGAAAACGTGAAAAATAATTTTTAAAAAAAGCAGAAACGTATCAGCTGAAAGCCTTTACCGGCAAAAACAACATTTTTAAGGTCTATAGTCTTTACAGTTAAATGATACTCAAAAGTAGTCACTAGTGATAGTGGGTAGTGGCTAGCTCCGACTTCAGAGACAGTACTTAAGTCTAAGTCAACTAAAACAAAATTTAAAAAACTGTTTGGTATGTTGTCGACGTTTCATATAAATCCTAAATGTTATAACATGTGGGCCTACATTTATTCAGATTATTCATTAAGCATCTGATACTCTCTGTAGGTGTTTTGATCAACCAAATTATATCTATGTAATTTATAAGAAATTGTTGATCATTGCACCATGCAATGACAATCAGCTGTAAATGAGGGGGAACTACTCTGGTTATTATTTACTCAAACAAGGAAAATCAACTAATTAGCCAAATACCAGTAGGCTAAAAAGAAACGCCAGAAGCACTGTTTGAAAAGCATCTTATTTCTTGGCTTTTTTTTTTTTTTAAACTTTACTACCTGGTCCGATAGCCCCAACTATTTTTTAGCTATAAAAACAACTGCCCTGGACTAGTACTCGTTTGATTAGGCGTATTGTGGTGACTTAGTTAAGGCAATAACAATGATGTATGCTCACGTTTTAAATAATTTTATTTATCATATATTAATATTGATTTGGATAATATAATATGGGGGAACCTAAAAAGCATTAAACTAAGACGACTAAGTGCTGCTTAACTTATTCTTCTGATCTTACATTAATGTTTAATTAGGCAGATGATAGGTGACCAGGTGGAAGCAATGTCACATCACAAGAAAAGCGGAATATTAAAGTAAAAAAAATTGCACTTTATTATTAATGACCCTAAATTACAGACATTATTAACATTCTGTTAAACAATTATAATTATTTTATTTTTTAAAAATACGATCACAGAGAGAATCAGTACAAATATGCGAAGTCCGAGAAATAGCATCTGATCAAGTTACAGGCCGCCACGGAGGAGGCAAAATGGGTGTAGAGACATTGACAGTCAAGAGAATTTTGACAAAGTGTGGAGACGGGAGTCATAAAATTAGGAATACCACATGAAGTAGGGTGGGAACTAGTTTAAACGGGTTGCCTCGGTCTTGTCATAGGTATCAACCATGGATTGGCGAGTCAGCTTTCCGGCGTTGAGGAATTGATTAAAGTTTCAATCACAAATTGCACAATAGTATGAACACCAATGCCAATGAAGCTGGGACACATTTCCTCGACAAAGAGCTTTCTTCGGGTCTGTGGTCCAAGAAAACTATTTATAAAACTTTGATCAGAACAGTTGTAACATATGCAAGGGAAACTTGGACCCTAACAAAAACAGCAGAAAGTTCTCAGGAAAATATATGGGCCAACAAAGGATGAATATGGATGGAGAATACGATCAAACCAGGAATTATACAGTCTATATCAGGATCCCACGATAGTGGCAGAAATAAAAAGAGGCAGGCTACGCTGGGCAGAACACCTAGAGAGAATGCCAAAAGACAGAGGAACGAAGAGGGTGCATCACCAATACCCCAGAGGAAAAAGGCTAAAATGAAGATTTAGGCTTAGGTAGATAGATGATGTAGAAAAAGATCTACAGCAGCTGAAAGTCCAAGCATGGAAAAGAAAGGCATTAGTTAGGTCTGAGTGGAAGGAAGTGGTGAGGCAGGTCAAAGCCCTACATGGGCTGTAGCGCCACATGGATGGATGGATGGATGATGTGGTCCACCCTGAATCCCCGTATGGGAAAAGCAAAGGGTAGCACATTGGTTCACGGGGTGGATATATTTTGTAAAATTCTGCTTTTTTAAATTTTAGATGAATTTTAGAATTTTATGTCCCGGATTTCTTGGGGTGCGCCATGCGTATTGTGAAAAATGGCAGCAATTTCCCCCTCTGGCATTATAAAGAGCGTTGGTTCTGCTGGGGTGCACTTTATTTACTCTTTCTCTCTAGAATGTTATGCTATATTCAATTGGTGTTCGGTTTTCCATTTTTAAATTTCGTCTTGTTCAAATTTAAGCATGATCATGTATTCTCTAGAGAAGGGATTGATATCTCTAAGAAGTTTTTGAAGGTTCTCCATTACGACACGAATGCATCCAGTGTTTGCTTGGTAGTTCATTCTTTCTGTCAAGGCTTGGACCAATCCAAAATGTACTTTGGCATACTTTGGTGATTGACCTTGATTTGCCCACGGAATCTGTAACAAAAAGTACCTGAATGTCTGGTTACTGATTGGTCAACTTGTGCTCCTATTGTGGCAAAGGACATTGCACTGTTGTAGGATCTTAATTTTTCCATGAATTTTTTAAAAATTTGGATCAGATCCATTCATATAATTTTTTTTATGAAGTGGTGCATTCTTATTTCTTCTAATGTAATGGTCCCTTATGGCAGCAATTTGACATTAATTCATTTTTTAAATACTTGGCATTGCAAAAAGTAGGACATTTGATGTCAATTTGGCCAAAATAACTTATTCAATTTCGTCTTCATTGAAATTTTCAGAAAGCAAAGCTGCGTTGCGGGATCGAGCATATCTACTCAGATGTCCTCTTTGATGTTGGCGTGAAACCCTTTGTCTTTCAGTGTTTGCCTCGCGCTCTTGTTGAAGTTGATTGTGTGGTATGTTTTCTCCGCGTTTCCCTTGACTTACAGTATTAGCTTTACATGCTACTTGGAGCTGTTCTTCTTACATGGCCACTCTAAGGCGTCTTTGAGCTTCAGCATCATGTTTTTTTTTCTTTGGCGGACATTTCTTCAGCATTTGGTTATTGGTGGTGTTTAGGAGGCATGTGGTACTGGGTGGCCAAGTGGACTAAATTGAGCATATCTCAAGTTGGTGGTCTGGAGTTCAATTCCAGTAAGAGCCCAGTCAAGCAAAAACACCACAAGCACCCCGGGTGGATGGGACTCGTTAACCTTGGATGGCAACTCATCTAAGAGAATGAAACTGAAATCAAACCCGGAGATGGAGTCCCGAAGGCGGATAACATTGATACAATGGAACATTCCGGCAACTCCTGCGACGTCACTATGGTGCCAAGCTGTATCATCCACATCATGTTCCCTTGGGTTATCCAGCGGCGTGGAGAGAGGCGATTAGCTGTTGGGAACCAGCTTATAATCCTCCAAGAATAATCCCAGGCCATGTGGATTTCGTCCTCCGAAGCCCACTCCATCGTCACATTGTGACGGACGGATGCCAGCAAAAAAAAAAAAAAAAAAAAAAAAAAAAAAAAGGAATCATGTTGATTAAAAAAACAACAAACATAATATGTTTCAATGGCTCGATTGTATACTACGGGTTAAGAAACTCTCGTCACAATTAAAAGCAATCGTCAATAGTAACACCAAGTTGAATACTTCGTTATTTTCTCTATTTACAATGCTGCTCTTCTTCATTCATCTATCTCCCTGCCATGGGCGCCCGCAGTTAAGTGCCCCCCCACCCGGATTGATTTGATAAAAAAATTTTAGACAAAAAATGTATTAAAGTAAAGAGAAAATAAAGAGAAAGTATCTAAGCTGATGTCCTGTCCGTTCATTCACCATACTAATACGCTACAGTAAATTAAAACTATATTAAAACATTACTAAAAAAAATATTTTTTAATCGATTTTTTTGCCCCCCCTCCCTCCCCCCGAAAGTTTTCTGCGGGCATCCATGCTCTCTGCATATCAATTGCTAAAGCCAAACCAATTAACATAATATTATCTCTCCAACCCAAAAAGTTACTAATACAAACTACATAGCAACAGCTACACCATTAATCTCTACACAAATACGATAAGAAACATCTATACCAATGACGTATTTTTATATTAACAACGTCTCCTTCATACATTGATTTTATAGTTGTATGTTAACATGTTTCCTTTATAACGTCATGAAAAATATATTTTGCATATTAGATGCGTGAAATTCAACAAGTTGTACAAGCCTATCACTATGACATTAGCCTAAGAAGGTTTATTTTTCCTTCTGTCTTAAATTGAATATTGCGTGTCTGCTTCACTTACGCAAAGTTGTAAAGTCTGGGAACTTTGAAATGTTTCATATTTGAAAAAATGATATAGACAACGCCACACCAATTAATACCAAATAATAACTTATTAGACCAGATGAATAATTATAAATTTCTGAAGCCAGCACCGGTATCTCCGAAGTTCAGTTTACATTTTTTTTTTTAAGTTATGTATTAATTACTAGAATATATGATCCGGTATTAACGGGATAATGGCGGAAGTCGTATGGTGCACCTGTTCTTGTGAATTTCAACATCTGAAATTCATTTTTCTTGTTTTAATAATGTTGCTTTATCTTGTTTTGTAGTGTATCCTTGAAAAACAAAAGTAAACTAAAAATATATTTAAAAAATTTCATTGCCTTTGAAATATATATTTAGGAAATAGTAAATTATACTTTTTTAAAATAAGAATCTATGTATATATTGATTTTTAGTTTTCTCACACCTTAGAGAATTTTTTTTCATCCATGTAAATATAATGTAGGCCTAAATCACCATTTAAAGCACATTAACTACAAAGAAAACATATTTCTAAAAGTTTAAAAAAATGTCCTTAACTTTTAAAAATATATGTAGGCCCAACCATATAGTAAAAAAAAAAGAATCTTTATATTTAAAGACGAATCTACTATACACTTTTCAAGTCTAAAAGCTTTGTGTTTTCTAAATTTTTTTTCAATCTCATAGAAATAGAAATGTCTTATGCCCCTAAACTGTATTATTAGCAAAATGGAAAAATGTGTTAAGATTTTCTATAAATTATAAGTCAATATTTTTTGTTTACTCCCATGAACTGCAATTGATTTGAACTGAAAGTTGTATATATTTTAAAATATCACATTTTCATGCCTATAACTATAAATAGTAGGCCTATAAAATTATTGGGTTTTTAGATATTATCTTTTGGGGTGAAAAGTTACAACTCATTAAAGATAAGACACTTAATTTTATGTGGTGTGTTAACATTTTGCAAATTAAAAAGCATGCAATTTTACTTATTTAAAAATGTAAATCCTGCATCAAACTAGTTAAAAACTCATTTTCATTTGTCCTGTCTGCTTAAGAAGGCTCTTAGCCGAAAAATTCTTATCTTTTGATTCAAGCTTCCACATAGATTTTTTCTACTATTAGTAATAGTAATACACAGAGGGCCATTTATTGAAAATAAAAAGAATATCTCAACTTTCAAATCTGGAAAAAATACTTCTTTAATTAATGAAATAGATCTTTAATTGTTATATTGAATTTATTTCTAATCTATAATAGTAATACTTAAACGTATACTTAAACATGAGCAGATGTATTTTATTTTTATAATAATATTTAAATTGGTTCGATAATATTTAAATTAATTTGATTTCAGTAAAATAATAGAAAATCCCTATAATTGCTTTTAAGAATCCAAATGTATTTAAATGGATTGCTATTTTAAGGGCTATATGGTCAGCCTTGGCTCATGTAAATTATATATATATATATACATTGTTTGAAGTTATTTCTATAATGAAAAGCAATGTCAAACATGCAGAAAAGCATCATGAAGGATAAAAAAATAACATTAAAATTTCAAATTAAGAATGCTTATAATTATTTAATATCATAATAATAAGTAAACATAAAAAAATTGTTTATTTTAATCATTTAATATATCTCATATCATTTATTCACATATATATATATATATATTGATATGGAGAAGGGTTAGAGCAAAGATAAATATCAATAAGATCTTTCCATAACATAAATTATAAAATATTTCATTTTACAGTACATCAGATGAAAGAAATTCTGTAATTTATTGAGATGACATAATAGAATAAATTCAAGTACCATACAAAATAAATTTCAGCTAGTTTATAAGTTCTAAGACACAGTGCTGGCGATGCCAAGTTTTGTGCTATAGGCAAAAAGACAAAAAATCCCAACCCTTATTAATCATAAATGTTAATCAGTCATCTATTTTTACCACTTTTTAGTTTTCTAAGAACCTGTTACATTTATTTTTTTAAGTATCATTCCAATTGATAAAAATTTACAATTAATATTTTATTAGCTTAAAGAAAATTCTTAAATAGATAAGTTTATGATGGCATTAAGGCTATATTTATTTAACAGTTGGTTTTCTGAATAAAAATATTGAAACACTAATGAACAAATGAACTTGCAATCGAGTAAGTAGAGAAGTTTTTGTTGTTGAAATTCCCTTATTTTTGTAAATGACTGAGTATAATTGGTAAACTAAGTGAAATGCTGTCAAAAATTGAAACGAGTACATTGTAAATTTTAAATGTTCTGCATTGTATTACTTCCAAAAGTTGTAAAGACATATCAAGGGTTTTATAAAATAAGAAGACACATCACTACAAGCAGGGCTGGAAGTTAACAACCAAAAAACATAAAACATTGACTATGTTAAGAGAAGAAAAGACGGATGAAACCATTAAAATTAGAAACTACACACTTGCAAAAGTAATCAATTCAAATACCTAGGGTCCTTAATAAATTAAAGAAATGAATTACTATCAGAAATAAAAGAAAGAATACCTGCCAGAAACAGGGGATACTTCAGTAGTCACAAAATACTCAAAAGTAAACATTACAAGAAAAACAAAAACACTACAAATAAAATTGCTTTCAGATTATTTGTAACATTTGCAGTTGAAACTTATACCATTTAAAAAAACGTCAGAAAACCTATTAAACACATGGGAGAGAAAATTTCTCCTGAAAATATATGGACCAACAAAGGATGAATATGGATGGAGAATACAAACCAACGAGAAATTGTATAGCCTATATCAGGATCCCACCCTAGTAGCAGAAATAAAAAAGGACATGCTACGCTGGGCGGAACACTTAGAAAGAATGCCAAATGACAGAGGAGTGAAGAGGGTGCACCACAAAAACTCCAGAGAAAAATGGCTCAAAGGCAGACTTAGGCTTAGATGGATCGATGATGTGGAAAAATATCTACGGCAGCTGAGAATCCAAGCATGGAAAAGAAAAGCATCAGTTATGTCTAAGTGGAAGTGGTGAGGGAAGCCAAAGCGCTACATTGGCAGGAGCACCACAGTTGCATAGCTATAGTTTAGTGCAGCCCCTTCCTAGAAAACAAAAACAAAACATAGTTGGCCAAAAAATGCAGCCTATCAATTTAATGAAATTAATGCTGATCAGGATGCATGTCCTAAAATTTAAAAAAAGGTGTATTATGGAAGACAACTTCATTCCAGAAGTTGCTCACAGCAGATGTCATTCTAATACATAAGTGGTCTCGGTGTCATTTTCTTTGCGGGTCATTCACAGGTAAAACACAGTACTTAATGATTTGCGCATAATGTAAATGGTTAAATACCACACTTAAAAAATAAAGTACTGTATCTAAAAAAGAAACAATGGAAACTCGCCCACTAATTTATTTCTGGACGTTTTGGAAATTTTTGTCACCTTACACTGCATCTTTATTTTTGGCAGCATTTGATCTCAGTTTGAACCACATTTTTGGATCAGCTGTATAACTCTCACAAACAATGTCACCATCTTCATTGTAAGACAAGAAACAGTTGTTGTGACCAATTAACACCATCTTGCCCTGAAAAAAAAACAGATAACAGATTATATTTTTAAAATAAATTTACCACTATTAAGTGAAGAAGAATCTTATATTGCTGTTTTAATAAAGTTAGAACTTTCACTAGTAAAATTTAGAATAGCACTAGTAAAAATGAATAGCTTTGTATGGTATTAGAATATCTTATATGGTTCATCGGCAGTACTTGAAACAAAAAATAATGGCTGAGTTAAGATTTTATAATTTAGACGCAATTGAAAATAGAAATTATTGAACTCTTTCAAATGTATTATAAATTTATTACAATTATTTGAAGAAGAATGATACAATGAAATTTAGGTAGCCTACTGTTTATCAGCTGTCCTTTAAATAAAAAATAATTGTTCAGTTAAGATTTTGTTATTAGACACACCAAGTGGAAACATAAATTATTCAATTCTTTTAACTTAAAACCATAAATATATTTTTTTTAAACCTGACATGAAAAATATATATGTCAAATTCAAACCGGTCTTTATTTTGATGAAATCTAAAGCCATAATAATAAAAACTTAGCTTTAGTTACCTGGCACCACTATATTGCAATAGCAATGAATCAGCCATTAAAAAGTAAATTAAAATACTAATAATCTACATTTATTTACAATACAAAAAAACAGTATTTGTGACTAACATCCTGAAAAACAGGTTCAAACTGTTCCCTGGTCCCAACAGTCTCAGCTATACTAACAACTCTACCATCACTTTGCAAACTCCAATGTTTGCCATTCACAGACTTGAAGGCAACTTTCGATGTATCTATCCTAATGGTTGTAAAAATATCAGCCGGGTTGGTGGGTCCCTCTCCTATGGAAAAAAAAAAGAACTGAAACTACAATTATTAAATTTGTTTATAAAGCAGCTATTATGACCAAAAAAAATAAGCACACATAGTGGTTCCCAATAATTAAGTTATTCTAAGCAATGGGGAGAAGCCGCACATGCCATGTTTTGATACGGTAACCCAGAGTTAATAACAGTGTGGCCTACAATGTCACAATTACAAGAAATCATATACATGCATATTAAAGCTGGGTTTTTGTTAAAGATTATGCTCACCGGAGTCCTTGTGATTCCAAAGTTCCAAAGCCCCATTGTCTAGGACTGTTATGTAAGTCTTCTCTTCAATTTCAATGGCAACAATGGCTGGAATGTCTGCAAATTTCTCTACCTCCCACCATCCTTCTGTCACACAGAAAATTAATCCTATTTAAAAACTTAGTATCATGAGATTCATTACCCGTAATATACTTTTTCTTACATAAAATATCTTGTTTCTTATTATTTCATTAATGGCCAATTTAAAAAAGAAATTAACTTGAGCTTTAATTTTAACATAATATGGATTTAATGTTATAGATTCATTACCCGTAATATACTTTTTCTTACATAAAATATCTTGTTTCTTATTATTTCATTAATGGCCAATTTAAAAAAGAAATTAACTTGAGCTTTAATTTTAACATAATATGGATTTAATGTTATAAACTGACTCTTTAAGTATTATAGGCATAACTTAATTATCTTTAAAATGTGCTTTACCATGCTCTAAGGTCTCTTCCTTCTCTTGAGATTGTAAAACTATATCTTCAGGGGTGCGGATATGTTTTCTCTTTTTGCTAATGTGATTTTTAAAATATGAAAAAAGTCTCTCAGATTTAAGTTATATAATGCTTATAAAGAAGGGTATACAATTGTTAATATAATAAGAAATTGTAAGTTACAATACACATAATAAAAAAAAAAAAATTCTCATCATTGACTCATACCTTTTGGCCTGAAATAGCACTTCAGGTTCTACAGGTGTTTTCTTTTTAACAGAAATTTGCTCCTGTAATTTTGTCAGTTCACACTTTAACTTTCCAACATCTGATTCAAGTTCTTGGATCATTTTTTCTTTCATTTGAATTTTCTTTGTTAAAGTTTCAATTCCTAAACTTATTTGAGCAAAATCGTTTGGTGCTTTATGTTTCTTCTTTTTTGGAACAGCAACATTCTCCTTTCCAGTTAGGAATTTTAACATATTTACTTCTAGTTTTAGGTTCAAATTTTCCATTTTTAAAGCTTTTCTTTCCTTTCTTAACTTGTCTATGGCTACATGCTTTCTTTTCATATTTTGATTCACAACTTTGACATTATAGTTTTTTGACATTTCTCTTAAATTTTTTTGTGATGATCTGAGTTTAACCTTCATTTCTGATATGAACTTCATGTAAAATTTTCTTCTCTTAGAACACTTCTCACAGTCAGTTTTGAGTTGTTTCACTGGTGTTTGTGGTAGATTATCAAACTGCTGATGAGCTATCTGTGAATGAAAACTTTCATCTTGAGTGCTAAGAGTTATATCAAAAGTGCTTGAGATTAACTGCTTCTTCTTAGTAACTGGTGCTTTCAGGGGCTGCAGCAAAAAATTCTGAATAATCCAGTTTTGTGCTAAATGATTTTTCAACTTATAAAGCCTGTCTTCCAATTTTAATAGACTAGAATGTATTGCATACTTGTTAGATAGACAGCTTCTATTGCTGAAAGCACTTGTCAAGCAAGAATAATCCAGTTTTGTGCTAAATGATTTTTCAACTTATAAAGCCTGTCTTCCAATTTTAATAGACTAGAATGTATTGCATACTTGTTAGATAGACAGCTTCTATTGCTGAAAGCACTTGTCAAGCACAGACACTAGCTTTCATACCTCCCTTCTTTTTGGGACTGCTGCTATAAAGAAGGACAGCATTCCCATTCCTATACTCATTTGTGGCTTCATCTTGAATCTTGGAGTAAAGCTTGCCACTAAATTAGTAAAATCAGAAATTTTTATCTTGGCAGACATTCTAGAAGCTGAGGGAAAAAATGTTTTTATACAATTTCTATCTATGCATACAGTATTATGTTTAGTATTACATTATTTGCAAGAGTTGAAAAGCCAAAAGAGCTGCTAGGCACCATCTTTTTCTTCTTGGTACCTGGCACTTTCACAGGCTGAAAAAAAAGGTCCTGGATTTTCATCCAGTTTCTTTTTTCTTTTTTGTCAAGTTAAACAAACTGATACGTATTCCACTTTTGTTGGACACATAGTACATAGTTTAGATCTTTCTTTGAAGACCTTATCAAGACACAGCAGCTTTAATGCCCTCCTTCTTGTTGGCACTGCTGGTATAAATGTAGAAGGCATAGCCATTCTTATACACCTCAGTGGCTGCATCATCAGCAAAGCTTGCCACTAAGCTGTCAAAATCCTGAAGGTTTACAGACATTGTTGAAATAATTAAAATATAATTTTTTTTTAAAATCTTAGAATATTAGACTTAACTAAGACTTAGTATTCCAATTATGGGATAACAATATTACAATTACTTTGTTCTTATAGTTATTTAACATTTTTGTTAAATATTATTATAGAAAAACTATTAGACTAGGGTGTCAAATCATGAAATGGAAAAAATGGGACACGTGTGCACCCAAGGAGGGTTTTGGGGTAGGCCCTATACCCTCCAGCTAAAGAGGGATCCAGGGGCCTCCGTCGGAAACTGCTTATTGAAATATGCTCATTTTAACTATTTTGAGACCTAGTAATCTTTTTAAATTTACCCTCAATTTCGTAATTTAATTTAAACTCTGAGGCATATCATAAATGAAAACAATAATTTTGCAGTGAACATTTATTTATTTATACATATAAGATCTATGGCAGGGACACTGTCGTTTACGCAGCGTCGACAGAGTGGTGGAGGGGGAACAGTGCAGCCATGACGGGAGCCCACATCACTACTGGCACTGGCTACACAGCTAGCCAAAATATTATTTGAAGTTATTTTATAAATTAGGAAGTTTTAGTAATTTGAAAATGTGTATTAGACTCTATAGACTAGGCTGAGGACAAAAGAGATGAAAAAACATAGTGAACAGGCAAAAAACATGATTATTAATGAGTTGGTGAATTTATTACCGTCTCTTCAACGTTGCTGCCACTTGGTGTGACATCAGGTGTGATGTCAGGTATCAATTGCCTCTTCTTCGGTATAGGTACACGAACAGGCCGAAGTAGCAAATCTTCTATAAAATGCCAGCTTTGATCAATATTTTTCTTTAAGCGCTTAATTTTATCCAATAGATCATGTATACTGGTCTTTGCAGCATTTTTGTTTGGCACATAATTACTGTCTGATTCTTGGAAATATTTAACCAGTGTCTCTGTAGCATTACCTAAGTTCTTTCCATTGCTGAAATACACATGGACAATGAAGCCATTTCTGTAACACTTAGTTACTGCATCCTCAGAGAAGCTTGACACAAAATTTTCAAAGTCTTTTTGTGTTTTTTTAATATTAACTTCATCCATTTTCATTGAATTCACTAAGATTCACTTTCTTCAAATGAGGTTAATAATTTATTATTATTATTAAATAAAGGAAGATTAGTGGAAGATAAACAGGGATGGATACCAACTAGGGTAGACTGAAAAAAACGAAGATTGATTGTTTGGAATTACATTAAGCAAATTAATAAATTAAAGAAATGTCCCTAGTGTAAAAATCTATTTATTTCATTAGTTTAATTATAGTATTAATATGGTTCTAGTGATACACTGATACACACCATTTTATAAATAATTAAATAGTAGGTTAGTAGCACTGAGTCTTAGGCTTTAGGTTATCTAATAATAACTTATTGAGAAATACATTGTTTAAGTTTAAGAAGAGAAATTCCCATTGACACATTGATTAATTTCTTATTTGATAAAGAATAATTGTCCAAACAATTAATTTAAAACAAATTATTTTTTTTTGTAAACAATTATATTTTTTTTATTCATAATATAAGAATCAAAATGTTTGTTTAATCAGAGATTTCAATGATTTAGACATGCTTTATTTACAATTAAAAACGTTGGTAACCAAAGCGTTTCCGTTTATTTCAAAATAATTACCCCCACCCACACTCTCCCCGGTTAATTAAATAAATTATAGTATAGGAAAAAAAAGATGACCACCATTTTTTCATAACATATGGCATATGGATTTATTTTTCATGCTCGGTATTAAAAATTCTAGACATAGCCAGTAATGTTTTACATAGATGCTTTTAATTTTAAAGTGATCAAGCTTGCTCTAGATAAGTTTTTACCTCTCTAAACGCTCCAACAGTTCGTCTAAGACAGTTAAGAGTGACAAAGTTTTCATACACCATTGACCGCAAATGCCGTAATTCTTCAGCGAATATTTTTAGAAAATAACGTACAGGAACGACAAAGCCCGACGTTTACCGAAAGCCTCCATTGACTGCTCTTTACATAAATGTACCCCGCGATGCCCGCGGATTTTTTTCCCGCGCATCTGTATTGGAGTGTCTAGTCTGGAGTACTTGTGCAGTGATTCAAATCCCAGTCTCTGTCAAATTTTGCAAAGGTATCTGATGCGAATTGTGGACCATTATCACTGAAAACCGAAAAAAGAATCCCATATCTTTCTAATTGTGTCTTTATTTTTCTTATCACAGTTTCTGTTCTTGTGTTTTCCAGACTATCAATCTCTAAAAAAAAATTACTGAAATAGTCCACATAGACTACGTAGTCTTTCCTTTTTAGTGCTTTGGAATCTCATGAGAGTCCTCTTCTGTTGATCAGGTTATTAGTTAAAAGACTTGAAATATATCATACTTTGAAATGAAAATTTTATTTCACCAGCTATTTCTGGTCAGAATAGACCTTCACTTGTCCCTTGCAGACATCATTTGACTCCCTTATGTGTTTAAGGAATAGCCTTTTTCATCTCTGATTTTTTTGCTGAATATTTTTTATGTTAAGCATTGCCATTTCCTTTAGCGTAGGCTTTAAGGAAAGGGTTGCGTTCAGGTTGAAGCAGTGGTAGATATTAATTATGGTGTAGAGCCAGGGGAAAACTGAAAGAAAACACCGAATGTATCGGCAATAGAGTATTGGGTACCCGGTAGGCCCTATCTTATATTAGCAATACATTTTATTCTCAACTACCGGTATTTAATCAACAGCAGCGGTCATCGGATGGAATCTCGGGATTCTGATTTTTTGGGACAATCCATGGATGACATAAGTAGGATCAATTGGGAATAAAAAAAAAAGGACCCATTGGAGTTCAAAAACAGATAAATGGACCTCATCTTCCCTATAAATTATTCCACCAATCATGTTCCCAACGGAATCACCCATTGTTTATAGTGTTAATCTAATCCCAGTGCCGGATTATCCTAAAGGAAAATGGGTCATCCGCCTTTTATGGATCCAACGCTTATTTTGGTGGCCCGCGACGAGTTCCTTTTTTGGGAGGATGGTGACTGTGTTTAAGCTTGTAACGTGTAATGACGTAATGTATAGTACCGGCTGGTTGGCATCTCGATACATAACTTTCACAGTTTATAGAAATAGAGGAGAAAGGTAAAATTAATGGAAACAACTGTCCTAATCTTCCTAAGATAGTTATCATCAAAAGGGGATGTTGAGAGATTGCGGTCTTTTGATGACATTCGGGATGATAAGAATACATGGTGCAATGTCAGACTTATTGGGTCATGGAATAAGCTACCAAAAATTTTAAACCAAAAAACTTTTTTCATTTCTCAGTTGTGATGTTTAACAAAAGGTTGACTCTAAATCAAAGTGAAGGATATGGATATTTTTGGGGGGGGGGGGGGGGGGGAGCGGGGGCCTACATTTACTATCTACCTGGGATGAACTCCCAAAGGTGCGACCCCAAAACACTCAATATAATTATTTAAAAAAATATATATATATATATATCGACCCGGGCGGTAGCCCTCTTTGCATACCATAGATATGCCAAAGGTGAGGGGCAAAATTTCAACTCACTAGGAGCCTTTGCAGGGTGTCAACGCTTAATTAGAGTAGTTTCACAATTTCAAGGTAAATCATTAATTTACAGACACACCATACCTTGGCCCCATATCCATTTTGTGACCAGAAAAATAAGATAAGATTCTTTTTATTGATCCAAATAAATGGGAATGTTTTTTTATTACATGGTACTTTTTCATTTTCAGCACATAAATATATACATATTTCAAACAAGGCATTTTAAACTTTTAACAATATAAACAGAAGACATCTTAAGAATGTCT